TCCTATGTTAACAGTCACGTGAATGTACGTCCGTTTGTCCCAATAATAATTGTTGCTCACGTGCATGTTAGTCCGTTTGATCACGTAAATGTACGGCCGTTTGGCCTCATGTTAACATTTGACCACGTGAATGCACATTCGTTTGTCCCCGTTCGTGAATGCACGTTCGTTTGTCTATTTATCATGATACTACACTGACATTTAACCTTGACCCTCATGTCAACCGTTGATCATGTGACCATATACACGGTGTTTATGTTTGGCAGGGGTTTAACCATTTGCACGTGCTGATGTCCCTGTTAGGTGGTTTATCACAAGATTATATGTATCTCTCCTTGTTGACAGTTTACGATATCACCTGCCTATATGCACGTGTCTTAACGTTCTTACAATGCACTATCGCCGTCTCTAAATTATCGTTCGCAACATCGAACAACTGACTTCATAAACGCACGGTCACTTGCGTACATTATAACAAATAAATTGATATATTGGTGCGGAGGTTTTTTTATCATCTCGGTTCTTTTCTGCTTTAGAAAATGTATGAAAACAAAATGCATGAGTGAAACGGCGACGATTTCTCTCTCTTTTTTTTTAACTCGCAAATATGTCGGAATAAACAAACCGACTTATTCATTGTGTGTGATTAGAGGCTGACTGTGTCCCGACCCCGTCCTGCTTCATTTGCTAAATATAATGTTTGACACATTGGTAAGGACCGACTGAATGATACGTACAAGGTACTGAGTCAGATCTTGGTATATGCGAGTGCGTCACGAGATGTCGATATATTACTCACCTACCACTATCAGACGGCTTGATTTTCCTTTGATCAATCCCAACAAGCTTTCGTAACGATCAATAAAAACACCAACAGCTCCTCTTTCATTTTCTTGAATATTTTTACGCAAACTTGGCAAGCTTAAGGTAAAAATCGTTTAAGAGTTAGTAACTATTCTTCCTGTACTAGGGGGAATAACTCGACATTGAAACAATAAACTGATCGGTTTATATTGTAAGGGAGGTAACTCCGTTGACACACGATGACCTCATCGCTAGGTGACTCATGAAACTAATTAGTGGTTAACACTAGTAAGTGTTTGGTCTAAAGGTGAGATCATCGGTACAACAGGTACAATCAATAATGTTGTGTGATTGACTAATTGTAAATGCTTTCCTTTTTACCATATCGGCGACTAAAATTCCTGTTGAGGGAGTTAAGTCAAAACAATATGTTATTTCCAACAAATTATGTGAATGTGAAAGAGGATCGGAAAAAGATGATAACTATAAACCGTCCATACCTCTAATTAATTTGTTCAGATACAACAATCATCCCTATAAATGGCGACTATATAAAAAATTAGATTCATACTCATTCACACCGTGTGTTTGTGATAAAGCTCATAGACGCGTTACTACAAAATGTACCAGTAATATTACATGAGGAACGTCGGACCCATATAACATGATTTTTTTACTTCTCCTTTCTTGTGCACAAGATGATTATCTCAGTACGTACTGGGTAAGCGAAAAAATGGAACATTTGGTTACTGGCAAAACAGCTCTTATGAAGTCAGTCCGCCACTGCTCAAATTTTGCTCGGTGTCTTGGTTTTGCCTTCCAAGAGCTTTTATGTCTCATCTCGGTGTAGGAACAGGAAAGCATACAAAATGTTTCAATGTTCTTTGATCGTAAATATGAATTGTGCACGGGTTGATGATATAAAGATGTATCCAAACATTATCCGACACAAGATTTTAAAACAGGAGTATATGTAATTCTACAATGTGCTGTTTCTGTGTGTTTTTGCAAGTTGTTTTAATTCCCTATGATATATAATCAATACGTGTGAAACATTATGTAATAAAAAATATAGCTCATTTTCCAGGAACATATGCATAATATAGTGTCAGTTAGTTTATGTACGGATAAGGTCAGTTTACAACAGAATTAAGATGGTGGTATTGGTTGAAATTCATTTCTATTAACAAAACACACGCGACTCCATCGGAAAGTGTCTGCAATCGCAGACCAGACGACAACGGCAGGTTTACGGAAACCACATCAATTCTACACGGATCATACACAAAGTTTGTCTTCTTTTCCTCAGAATGACAGTTTGATGCTTAAGCTTGTAGTTCACTAAAAACGATACTTTGAATATACATGTTTACGCAATTAATTTTGAAGATGTCTTTGAAAGTCCTTAACTATACTACAATTTCCACCAATGTTGACAATATCTTGAATGGCGATCACGACTGTTGCGTTGGACAGGGATGTGATCGTTTTCGGTATCTGACTTAACACACGCATTTTTATATTCCAAATTTCAATTATAAATAAAGTTCGTCACATTGTTTTACAGGTATCAGTAGACAAGTCATACTAAAAAAAACGACATAGAATATCTGTAGCCTACATCCATCGCCACGTTACAGACTGGTTCACCTTACTCAAGACTCTAAAAAAGTTTTTAGTCAGCTGTTAACAGAGAAACCTATGCTGATACAAGTCAAAATTTATATTGTAGTGTTGCTATCACCTTTCAGATATTACTCATTTCCTTGTGTTAAATGAATTCTAAGTGACCACGGTCTTGGCTATATAAAAGCATGTGATTAACAAGATTTGCTCAGTATTAACCCGATCATAATTATAAAATTGTGGATAAACAAGAGGCCTAGTGGCCTTGACGGTGAGCAATACTGAATATAAAGGTTACAGGATAGTTATCAAGTGTCATGAAACAGAAATTCTGGCACCGAATATAGTAAGCAAGTGGCAATACATGCATATCATTGGAACTGTCATACTATACTTATAATTCTTATTTCCAGTGGGAAATAACCAATGTTAAGCTCAACAAGAGGCCCAAGGGGCCTTAACGGTTACCTGAGGAATATATGTCAATAATCTAAGGATTTTAAAATGTTGCAAAAATGTAACAACACTTGTGCAGGACCATGTGTAAAACATCTGTACTTAGTTTGAGAGGTAGTCCATAATGTCTTAGCCAAACAGAGGTCAGGGTGGCCATTTTGGATTTTGAATCCCCCCAAAAAGTTAAAACACTTGCCAGGACCTTGTGTAGAACATTCGTATAAAGTTTCCCCTTTCCCCCCCTCCTGGGGCCCCTATTGGGGCCACACCCTTTTTTCTTTGCAAACTAGAAGCGGCTTCCCATGCGGATGCTTTGTGCCAAGTTTGGTCAATATCCATCCAATGGTTCTTGAGAAGTAGTCATTTAATGAAGGTTTTTACATATGACCACTTTTACACCCCTTATGGGCCCCAAAGGGGACATTTTCACTTTTTTCAACGTAATTTCATATGTCCTTCACTAAGGGATGCTGTTTACCAAATTTGGTTGAAATCGGTCAAAGTTGAGTTTTCTTCCTTTTTGAGGGCCCCCTAGTGGGGCCGCTTTTGACCTGATTTTTTTTTCATTCACAAACTTTGTAGACCTTGCCATTAGGACCCTAAATATCAAATATGAATTTAATCTGACCGTTGGTTCATGAGAAGAAGATCTTTAAAGATTTACCTAATTTTACCCCCTTTTCCCCCCTCCTGGGGCCATGCCCTTTTTCTTCGAAAACTTGAAGAGGCTTCCCATGGGGATGCTTTGTGCCAAGTTTGGTCAAAATCCATTCAGTGGTTCTTGAGAAGAAGTCGAATATGTGAAAAGTTAACGACGCATGACGACAGACAAATCATGATGGCAATAGGTCACCATGAGCTTTCGGCTCAGGCGACTTAAAAACACAATTTCACCCCTTTGACCCTGCCCATCAGCCAGGATCAATATGTACAAACCATCAAGCTGTCATCCATCACTCATAATTCTAACAAAGTCTGAAATATTTCCAATGGAAATTAAACAAATTATGCTAAAAAAATCTAGTTTTCCTATATAAATTATAGTAAACTCTACCCCCTCCGAACAGGATATGCAAGACCCTTAGGCCATCAAATTCACAATTTTGGTAAAGCACCTTAAGATGCTTTCATCCACTAAGAGCATTTGATTCCTCCATATCTGTGTGTTAAGAAGAATTTTTAAATTCAAGTCAATTTGACAATTTTTGGGCCCTTGTGGGGTGAGGACTGTATAATTCACAATTTTGGTTCATCTTAAGCAAAGGCAGTTTTCTGCGAAATATCATTAAAGTCAGAACAGATTTTTTTTTAAAGTTGAAATTGTTGAATTCTTTATGCCGAATGAAGGCGATTGCAATTGTGTCACCATGAGGTGACCTATAATGCCTGCAAATGATATGTTGATCACAGATATGAAACTGCTTAAGCTCTGGCAATTTTCAAAGATACAAATATTTCCTCTGCTCATCGACTTTTAGCTTTTACCATATACAACCAAATTTTCTCATACATCAGATTTGTAAATATACATCCTCCATTCTTAGAATTTAATAATATAGATCATAATAGATCTGGATACTTCACTTACAATGTAAAGACTGGAGAAACCTGGACTGTCTCCAGTATGTCCTATGCAGGTAAGTTTTTCAACTATTTCGATTATGAATCAACAAAATAGAATGAAATCTGAAATTGTGGAAAAAACCTTCAAGCAATGTAATTCCTAAAGGGATCTTCACTTCTACCATGGTGTGGTTTTGGTCTTTTCCTTACTCTCCCGTAAATTGAATATGTACAATTCAGGCCAACAGGAAACTCGCATATGAAATTGGAAAATAATTAAGAAATCCTCAAGAAATTTATGTATTTAAATCCAGAATCATCAGACATTTTCCCCTCCTCATAAGTCCCAAAATTGTCTGTGCACAACTTGAAACCGAGTTGCAACCTTGCAACTTTGGGAACATTTGTATGAAATTAAGAGCGATCACAGTACTTCTCAATAAATGGTGATAAGAATAATTAAAGGACACACAGACGAAGGGCAATTTGAACTGTCGGAACAACTCACTATCTGATGGGATAAATTTCAAAATACAACCAAAACAACACTAGACTGTTGAGCGACTTTAATGTAACATTTATCATTACTCGTCACCGTCATCTTCCTCCTCATCCTCGTTGTTGATCTGGAAGTATCGCAGCTCATAACTCTCCTTGTTATTGGCCACTACTCTCAACCAATCACGAAGGTTATTCTTCTTCAGATACTTCTTGGTCAGGTATTTCAAGTACCTATAAGTATCAATAAAAGAGATTTTTAATATTTGAAAAATTAAAATAAAATTAATTGAAGAATAGTACAAAAGACAAGTTTATAGTGGCTTTCATTACAATACATATCTAATCAGGCCAAATCAGGTAAAAAGCTAGCGAGAATATTTAAACTTCAAACTTAAAGCCATGCTAGATACTACTGCAATCATGGATGATAACTTTGTAAAATGAAAAAAAAAATCTGAAAGCATTCTTTGTTTAGAGTGAGCATACAGGCTTTACCACATACTTGTTATTGTGAGTTACCTTTTAGAGAAAGCAATATCGGCATTGAGGATGATCTTATTCTTGTCTCGGTCCAAGTTCACATTGGTTCCAAAGTTGTTGGTCTTTCCTCCAACCTTGATCCTCTCATGTAAAAACTTCTCCTAAAGATCAGAAATGGAGATCCATGGGATTAGGGAATATTGCCCTAATCCTAACTAGGGAAGTCAACCCTAGTTATAGAGGCTGGTCAGTCATTATATTCACTGCCAGTACTATATACAAAACATCTTAATACAATATAGATATTACAATATCCGTTCATTGTATATCCAACCATTTATTTATCAGTACAAAAACAGTTTAAGTGAAGAGCATAGACTGACCAAAAGGCATTAATTCAACATTAAGTGATTGATTTATATTAAACTATGTGCTCTAAGAATTTCTATATGTATATACATCAAAATAATTAATGAAGAATATAAAAGGTTTTACATATATATATGTATTTCAACAATTTGATGAAGATTATACATATCAAAACCATAAATCCTTACAAAGCTTGCAACATCCATAATGCCATCCTCAACAGGCACTGTGCAATCAATGTTGTACTTGAGACTGGTCTTCTTTTTCTTGCCCTTGCCTCCGGCGGGCTTGCCAGCTCTCTTCACAGCCTGCAGGACATTAAAACAATTACATATTTATATTAATAAATACACAAGTGTTAAGTTCTATTAAACATTAGCGACTCTTAACAGGTTCGAACTAGCGATCCGTACTCTCAGCTTCAACAACAAAATGCTTTTGTTGCAAATTTTCAAAAGAACTTCGTGTTTTCATTACAATTGATGCAGTGGTAAGAGTAGGTTTTCTATTCCTCGAAGCAGTATCTACCCCTCCATTGTAGGGTAATTATCAGTATTGTGAAACAGGCCGTCAACAGCCTCGCATATCAATGCTGTACTGTACCGATATGCGAGGTGTGCCCACTACGTTTGGTTTCTCGTATTACTTAGGAAATGTAATATACTATTTTTTTTCACTTGAAAGGACATAGATTTATTTACACAATAATGGTTAGCGACCAGATAATAACTACTGAAGTTATCATAAATACCAAAGTTCATTTATGTAACGTAGGTCTGAAGACATTGTGAATTCGGTATCCTGAACCCACGTGTCTGATATCACGTTTTACAAAATATTGCCCACCACGAATTAAGATCTGTTTGGCGGTTATGATTTGCTTGTTATGAAAATACGTGCACTAAAAAACAATCTGCATTTTATTTTGGGGTATTTGAGTGTGGCATAAATGTTTTAAAAGGAAATATGATCGGAGACGACTTCAATACCTGTGGCATGATGGCGGATTTATAGGAAAAGGACGTTCACAACGAGACCTTGTAAGATCTTGCAATTACTTCAATGTAATTCTTCTTAAATCATTGAGGGTGTATTTTTATAATGAAAGTTGAGGCAAACAATAAAATGTATTGAAATATTTCATGTATCAAAAAGATTTTCTTTTATCGTGGTCGCGAGAGTATGCACTAATAAATTAACCGAAAACGGTTGTGAATAAATTCGCATCTTCAGTCGATATAAGATTAATAAAAATGATTAATTCTGTTGAAATGTATTTAATATTAGAAGATAATATAATATTTACTTGATGTTTCAATATTTCAAAGGTTTGTTCTGGGAAGTTGGCTTACTTCTTGATATAAATCCGGAACATGTTTACCGCTAAAAAAAAGTATTTTCACCATCAATTATAGCCGGAAGTAGAATTTGTAAGTTGCCGGATCGATCGAAAACCATCGAAAACGCCTGCTACTGGGCTTATTTCTTATCGGATAAGCAAGGGGTAAGACAATTCCAATTTTGTATAAAGCTTTTAACGTTTAAAGTAATTGCTGCATATGATAAGAAACATCAAACGTTGTGATGAACATTTATAGTGGGTGTGTGTTTAAAATCTGCATACTTGATTGCTAACGTCAGACCATTTGGTGGGCGGTTCCTGATTCCTGATAGATGTAAAGCATTGAAGTGCAAGTACAGTTTCTCTTCATATAGTTAATACGATGTTCACCAACACACTTTATACTCCAATTATTACTTAGAGTCATCCCGTTTAGAAATTGATACAATGTAGAAATGTGAACAGTTTTTATTTTCATGTATAATGTTCATGTCATTTACCAAAGTAACTAATATTTATTGTTTTCCAGTACTCGTGCCCATGGAAGAGTGACATACGGACTGGTTGACAGGAGAATGTCAATATGATTGGCGGGTTGTTCATTTACAACCACAAGGGAGAAGTCCTTATTTCCCGCGTGTATAGGGATGATATTGGGTAAGCATGTATCATTACAAAGGTATCCATTTTCCAGAATAAAATGTGGTTCTTTTCATCTAAATAGTTTTTATCGCATGCAAACAAAATCCGCGGTTCCATTTTTTTTTCTCAATTTGACACTTTCATCACACAAATAACCTTTTAAGTGCTTGTTATCTGATATGGATGCAAAGTGTGTATCTGAGAGAATACAATTAACATATCAGGGCCGCACTTCAAGGACATCTTACATATAATTGTATACCTTGATATTGATAGACAGTGTACCAAATGACCATTAAACTGGCCAGTCAATATACCTTACTTGTTACTCATAAATGTTTGAAAGTTTATAAGGGACATATAATAATCTAGAAAAATAAGTCAATGTGATTGCATTGCCATCTATAACTACTCTCCATTCCTAGGATATATCATTTTATTGGTCATTTATCTGACATATTTGGTGTATGTCAATTGTACAAATATTTTGTCATTATTGCAAAAGGTAAACTAAACTATATGGTGGGATTTTTATGTAATGTTAATGTAAAATCTTTTCTGATGTTATTGTTTTGATACAGACGCAATGCTGTGGATGCGTTCAGAGTCAATGTCATTCATGCCAGACAACAGGTGCGGTCACCTGTGACCAACATTGCCCGAACCAGCTTCTTTCATATTAAAAGATCTAACATCTGGTTGGCAGCAGTCACCAAACAGAATGTCAATGCTGCCATGGTCTTCGAATTTCTTCTCAAAATGGTGGAGGTCATGCAATCCTATTTTGGGAAAATTTCAGAAGAAAACATCAAAAACAATTTTGTGTTGATCTATGAAATTTTAGATGGTAGGTGAATAAGTTTCAGTTATCATTGTTTATGTTCTTAACTTTCATATGATTAGATTCTTCATAAGATAAAAATAAAAGGAAGAAAATGATTGCTTCCTAACTTTAATTTTTCTGTTTCATGATAAAGAGATTTTGTTTTTAAATTATACATATACTGATTTTTGTAAGAATATAAAGAGGTTTGTGAAAGGTTAATTGTAAAAAAAAAATTACAGTTCTGGTACATATTTTTTATCTCGGTAAATGAAGAATATGTTACAGAGAAAAAAATATTTGACATTAGCATTATTACCTCATCTGTATTGTTTTTCTCCTTAGAAATTTTGGACTTTGGATACCCACAAAATACAGATACTGGTATTTTGAAGACGTTCATAACACAACAGGGAGTCAAATCACAGGTGTGTTCAAAGTTACCATAGATATTTGAGGATTTATGCCATATTTAGCACAAAATTATGTAATATTCAGTTGTTTTTCTGACATATAACCAAGGAGTGAGATGATTAGTGGAATAAAAGATTTCAGAAAAGAAGATAATTAAATTTTCATGCAAATTATACATACATAATCTATTACCTTAGTGTGTTTGAAATCAATTCATCTCGGACTGAGATAAATATATTGCTAACACATACAGGTTCTATCAATTCACATGAAAGAGTGCAAAAGTGATCATAACATGGTGTAGCGAGGATGATCCAGTGATACAATTGGGATAATCCTTTCCCATTGATACATAATCCCAGTAATGGTAGGGGAATAATCCTTTCTGAGTGATACCAGAAGAAGCATATAGTCTAACACCATAATAAAGTGAATCTGTCAGACATAATTTATAAACCCTTTGGATGTGAAGTTAATTGTACTGCAGTTTCATGTCTTCTCTTATTATTAAAGTTTTGGTCACTTACTGTTTCATAGAGTAAGGAGGAGACCAGCCAAATTACATCACAAGTAACGGGACAGATTGGATGGAGACGTGAGGGAATTAAGTACCGGCGTAATGAACTGTTCCTAGATGTTTTGGAGTCAGTCAACCTCCTCATGTCACCTCAAGGTTCGTGTTCTAGTAATTTTATAGTTTAATGGGTAATATCAATCATCACAGACTTGGCTATCCTCATGTTAATTACCTATGTACAAGACTGTGTTATCCACAAGTTTGTTTCCTGCCCACAAAGGCTAGGCTGTCCACCAATTAGTTACCTACCTACAGACTATGTTGCTCACAAGGTAGATATCTACTAATGGAGGCTAGGCTGTGCACTAGTTAATTATCTACCGATTAAAGGTTTATTGTCCACCTGTTAATAACCATCCCACAAAGGTTAGGCTTTCCACCTGTTAATTACTTGCTCATGAACATTAGGCTACCCACCAAGGGTAGGTTAGCCGTCAGTTAATTACATACCCACCAAGGCAAGACTTCACACTAGTAAATTCATAATCACTAATTTTTTTTTTCATCTTTCACAAATTTGTTTTTCATTTTTCAGAACAGATTGAACTCATCCCATATTCACTAAACAGCGTCAGCCATCAAATTTTACACTGATTAGATTTTGTTGATTATCAGTTAAAGTCAAAAGGTCACACCTTAACCACGTTTGAAATAAAAATGTTGTGTACAGTATATCTCATGAACTCCTGAGTTAATTTTGGGTGTGACTAGGAGAGATCTGTCACTGAGAGGATTGTAAGATGTCCGTCTTTGTAAATTCCAGGTCAGGTGTTGAGTGCCCACGTGGCTGGGAGGATTGTGATGAAGAGCTACTTAAGTGGGATGCCCGAGTGTAAGTTTGGCATCAATGATAAAGTCCTGATGGAAAGTAAAGGGAAAAGCAGTATAGATGAGCCCACTCCACGCACTGTTGGGTAAGTCCAATGTTGATGGTTATTGGAATTCTATATAGATTCAGGAAAGGGTTTATGGTGACCATTATTGACACTCATTCAATAGATCAGTACTTAAGTTAGGAAAATTCAAATATTCCAGGAAAGATTAAATTCCACGCTAGACGTCATAGAAGCATTCCTTAGATATTGAATTATCATAGTGGCTATCTATTTGTCCTGTTGCTATTTTGTGTTGCATATACTGTCTTAAATTCCTATTAAATTATTAAAGATTTCATGTAGAGGTACCCACTTAAATGCAGATTTACAATTTCTTGCACAAGTTTAACAAATCTCTAAGGAAAATTGGAAAAGAATATTTTTGGATATATACAGTGCGACATACATCCTGACAGCCACTGAACCTGTTTGTGTTCCATGGTGTAATAGTGTACTTGTTTGGTGATAGTATTAGAAGAAATACCTGGGTTGCTTTATGTTTAATGAGACAAGAATTTGTTTAACAGTGGGACAACCTCTGGGAAGAGTTCCATTGCCATTGATGACTGTCAGTTCCACCAGTGTGTCAAGCTGAGTAAGTTTGAGACGGAACACAGCATTAGCTTCATTCCTCCGGATGGCGAGTTTGAATTGATGAGGTAAGTAGAATCATGTTTATACTACAAAGTCTAGAAAACAATCTTCTGAAATGTGAGTTATGAGTTTCCTAATGATGTAATCATGTTTACATCCAGTCAATGAATTAGTAATAGGAGATAAACATTTAAAGTTTTGAAAATGAAAAATTTCATTACTTACATAGTGAATTTAGTTCATGTGAAAAAAAACCCTTTATGTTTTAAGGAAGCAAAAAGACACTAAATGTTGCACTGAGCACTGTATTGTAAGTGTCCTATTTCTGTTGTACATGATTTATGTATGTTTAGGTACCGGACCACCAAGGACATCAGTCTTCCCTTCCGTGTCATTCCATTAGTCAGGGAAGTAGGACGACAGAAGATGGAGGTTAAAGTCGTTGTCAAATCTAACTTTAAACCTTCACTCCTTGCTCAGAAGATTGAGGTTAGTGTAACTATCAAATCAAACTTTAAACCCTGACTCCTTGTTCAGAATATTAAGGTTAGTGTTACTATTTATACCCTGACTCCTTGTTCAGAATATTAAGGTTAGTGTTACTATTTATACCCTCACTCCTTGCTCAGAATATTAAGGTTAGTGTTACTATTAAGGTTAGTGTTACTATTTATACCCTGACTCCTTGTTCAGAATATTAAGGTTAGTGTTACTATTTATACCCTGACTCCTTGTTCAGAATATTAAGGTTAGTGTTACTATTTATACCCTGACTCCTTGTTCAGAATATTAAGGTTAGTGTTACTATTTATACCCTGACTCCTTGTTCAGAATATTAAGGTTAGTGTTACTATTTATACCCTGACTCCTTGTTCAGAATATTAAGGTTAGTGTTACTATTTATACCCTGACTCCTTGTTCAGAATATTAAGGTTAGTGTTAGAATATTAAGTTAGTGTTACTATTTATTAATTTATACCCTGACTCCTTGTTCAGAATATTAAGGTTAGTGTTACTATTTATACCCTGACTCCTTGTTCAGAATATTAAGGTTAGTGTTACTATTTATACCCTGACTCCTTGTTCAGAATATTAAGGTTAGTGTTACTATTTATACCCTGACTCCTTGCCCAGAATATTAAGGTTAGTGTTACTATTTATACCCTGACTCCTTGCTCAGAATATTAAGGTTAGTGTTACTATTTATACCCTGACTCCTTGTTCAGAATATTAAGGTTAGTGTTACTATTTATACCCTGACTCCTTGTTCAGAATATTAAGGTTAGTGTTACTATTTATACCCTGAGAGAATATTAAGGTTAGTGTTACTATTTATACCCTGACTCCTTGTTATTAAGGTTAGTGTTACTATTTATACCCTGACTATTTATACCCTGACTCCTTGTTCAGAATATTAAGGTTAGTGTTACTATTTATACCCTGACTCCTTGCTCAGAATATTAAGGTTAGTGTTACTATTTATACCCTGACTCCTTGTTCAGAATATTAAGGTTAGTGTTACTATTTATACCCTGACTCCTTGTTCAGAATATTAAGGTTAGTGTTACTATTTATACCCTGACTCCTTGTTCAGAATATTAAGGTTAGTGTTACTATTTATACCCTGACTCCTTGTTCAGAATATTAAGGTTAGTGTTACTATTTATACCCTGACTCCTTGTTCAGAATATTAAGGTTAGTGTTACTATTTATACCCTGACTCCTTGTTCAGAATATTAAGGTTAGTGTTACTATTTATACCTTCCTTGTTCAGAATATTAAGGTTAGTGTTACTATTTATTAGTGTTACTATTTATACCCTGACTCCTTGCCCAGAATATTGAGGTTAGTGTTACTATTTATACCCTGACTCCTTGCCCAGAATATTAAGATTAGTGTTACTATTTATACCCTGACTCTTTATTGAGGTTAGTGTTAGTGTTACTATTTATACCCTGCCCACTCCTTGCCCAATATTAAGGTTAATATTTATACCCTGAGGAATATTGAGGTTAGTGTTACCCAAAAAAATGAGTTCAGTATTAGTCTTTTACTGTTATTCCCAGTACTCATTGACCACTGTAAATGTAAACACATTTGACCTCTTTATCACTTATTGTCAAATAAGTTCAGTGATGAATTTATACATGCACCATGATTGCTGCATCAGCAATGTCAAAGAAATATTATGACTGTAGTGTGATACTTTCAGTCTGAAAAAAACTGAAATAAGATTACTGCTGAAACCTATGTTAAAATATTCAATAATTCTTCTGAGAGGCAGCAATTTAAATGAGTAATTGTCTACCTTATTTTGCTTATAATAAAGCATTCTGAAAGTATAGATTCATGGCAATTTGTCAACGATTCACCTGTGTATACAGCAGTAGTGGTAAGCTACCACTAAAACATTTAAAAATTTCATCACTTAATTTGTCTGTTTTGTGTTGTAACAGGTACGCATTCCAACTCCTCTCAACACTAGTGGTGTTCAGGTGATCTGTATGAAGGGCCGAGCTAAGTACAAGGCCAGTGAGAATGCTATTGTGTGGAAGTAAGTATCTACTCATGGAACGATGTTGCTTAGGGAAGTTCCCCTTTAGTCATTTCAAATCCCTGATCAAGGAATGACTGCATGAGCTAAAGGTCTGTTAAAGAAAGTATTCAGTACAAAATATTTCTCAGAAATCACTGTCATTTGGTATATAAGAAGTATTATAGGTTTCAAATTCTATCAAAAAGAAACTTACAATGATAATCTAAAATGAATGGCAGATACTAAGGTTCAGCTCTGGCTATTACTTTACCTTATATGGTATCATTAGTAACACATTGCCATTTTCCTTATATGGTATCATTAGTAACACATTGCCATTTTCCTTATATGGTATCATTAGTAACACATTGCCATGTTCCTTATATGGTATCATTAGTAACACATTGCCATTTTCCTTATATGGTATCATTAGTAACACATTGCCATGTTCCTTAGGATCAAGAGGATGGGTGGAATGAAGGAGTGTCAGCTGAGTGCCGAGATAGAATTACTTACTACTAGCGACAAAAAGAAGTGGACCAGGCCACCAATCTCAATGAATTTTGAGGTAATATATCACATCTTAGTATTTACATCTAGCAAAATGGCAGTAGTAATTTTAGTTTTGCCAAGGATGAAAAGTCACAAAGCAAGGTTTGGTGGATCTTTTCCAAAGCTGGCGGTTTTGTTAACATGTCACTATTAAGTTTTGTATTTAGACCTATTGCTCATGAAGATTAAGCAAAATTTATATATAACAAGATCATAGTGGACACCTCAACACATCCATCATTTTCAAGTTATCATTCATAACTTATAGTCCAGCAACTTCAAAAATCTGTGATTTAAAGTTTCTCATATAGTACATGTGCTATTCCAGACAAACCTGGAATATGGTTACATTGTATTTTAACCGACCAAATAGACTCCATGAATTTCATTTATTTTTTATTATTTCTTTTTGTGTGTGTATTTTTGGGACAAACATTCTGATTTTGAGAAAGAACTACAATGTCTTTATGGCTATTCAATTTAGATTTAGTTCAGTCATATTTAAACAAGTACTGTAAAATATAGTGAACAAGTTTTCCTCTTTTTTTTCCTGGAAAGATTGAGATTTGTGGGATAAAAATATCATATTTGAATGAATTTTGAGAATTGAAGAATTTACTGAAATTGGATTTCATGTTTTACAATGCATCAATATTTGAACATGACAAAATATCTGTGTTTTTCACATATTATTATGAAAATTAGCTTGGAAACTTTATTTTGGTGGGAGGGGGCATAAGTTGAAGTGTATTATGAATTTTATGTGAAAGTTAACCATATTAACAAAGATGGCAGGCGAGACATATAATGACATGGGATTCTTGTTGAATAGTGAATTTTTTTTCAAATGAAATAAATATATGATGTTTGGTGTTCCAGGTACCCTTTGCACCATCTGGATTCAAGGTTAGGTATTTGAAGGTGTTTGAACCCAAACTAAATTATAGTGATCATGATGTCATCAAGTGGGTCCGATATATTGGCAGGAGTGGACTGTATGAAACAAGATGCTGATCACACTGAAATTATAGGAAGGAATGAAACATCTCATGAGGACAAGGAGTTTCCATAGTTCTTAGACCATTAAAACCTGGCAATTTCTGTATGTTAGCATGGCCAAATCTGTCCTTTTTTACATCTGGGTTAAATGAAAGCACATTCAGAATTTACTGTATCGTTTGGTTGAAATTGTTTCAAAATGAATACAAAATATCACCTTGTGCAATCTATATGTAAATTGAAAGTAGAACAAATGAGATTTTTTTGTGCAAGATGTGTTGATATTGTTTATCACCTGGTGTAAATAGATTGAGTAACAGACATAGGATAGTTTCCAGCTTCATGTGTCTTACTGTTGTGTATGACAGTTGTTAGAATACTCTAATGTTGTAGCTTAATATATCGGGGATTGTATAACAGTGTATGTATCATAGCAGAATATGGTAGTTTCATTTTAATCATCAAAATCCGGAGACGGGCATGAAAGTACAAGTATATATCTGTACATGTTATAGATGAAGGATATTACTAATTACAATTTGACTACAAGAATGTAATCGATCATTCTAGTCTGTGATTTTCATTATGTGGTAGTGAATATGTCTGATGAAATTGTCCATTGTCTATGCCCCAATTTCATTCCACGTTAAATGCTTAAAAATCAATATGTCAACCCTTCCTATTACATGGTATATAGCCTTACTCTTTTGAACAGGAATATTTATTATGTGCTAAATGTGCAAAGTGCTACTTTATATAAATTTGTTTTCCATCAGGGATTGTATTGTAATCTCAGAATGGTTAGAAAATCATGTGATCACCTCTAATTTCCATATTGGCTGCAGGTCAAAGGTCACAAATATTATCTCAGCACCAGCTGCTGATCATGTGATTAGCTAGTAAACAGCTTTTTCAAGTAAGGTGTTTCCTTGGGTGTTAGGCTGCTTGAATACATTTCATTATTGTTGGACCTAGTGATTTCATTTTATTTTCTGACAAGTGTTGACTTCTCAAATCTGTCAGGATTAAATACACATGAAAAGCGATGAATTAGTTGTCTGCATACGACCTTGTAATTTTGTCCATTGTCACATTTCGTAGAAGTGATTGTAACATGGTCATTATCTTTTTGAATATGTAATCAGAGACAAGCTAATTTCAGGGGATATTTTGTCTTTAAAGTGCATATATGTGGAATTTGTATATCTAAAAGCAGTTTATGATTTGTAGGAATTAAGTTGTGAACTGTGTTTGGGTGATCAGATTTGTTTCATATTGTATTCCTACGTGTAATGGTTGTGTAATGTTTAATGATGAGATGGAAGAGTAAGGTGGTGTTCCGTATTATCACTGTAGATTATATTCTGTGAAATTAATTTTAACAAGTCGGGTAGTAAAATAAGTCTGCAGAATCAAATTATATATACAAGTCAATAAACTATGGTATGTATTTACTCTGATTTTTAGGTCTACGGAAGAAAATTGTAAAATGCAAACATATGGAACAAGATATCACATGAGAATATCATGTATATTGAAAAACAGAACATATACAATAGAACATGCGTAGTTAGATATTGATTGAACTGTGTAATCGATTGCCATTCCTGTGTTCCATCTTCTAGAATAAAACCAGTCATTCAGTAGTGGTGTTTACATTAAAAACACAGCAGTATGTTTTACTGTCATATAATCATTTGATATGTCATGATTATCATTGACACATTCTGTATATGTATGTATACATAGTATATAACAATAAACACTCCATGTCCCAATTTTGCGTTATACTTTTCATTGGTACTTTTATCAAATGGTAGTCTGTTCATATCACCCTTCACTGTCTGTCCTTAATCACTAGATTACAAGCTCATTCTCAAATATCTTGTGTCAATCCACAGTGTTACAGGTTTTGTTAAAAGTTTAATTTGCAAACAAATGACCCATAGGTCGCCATCTTTGATATTGACAATGTTTGACAATACATGTATCTCAAATTTCAAATTAATTTCCTTTTGCTTCCTAGATGTATGTAAGGTTCACCAACGGGTTATGCCAAGTGGTTGACAGCAATGGACATTGCTAGGTATCACTTAACTTCTGTATCTAGACACTCAACTGTACAAGCTGACTAAGGACTAGACAGCTAAACTCAATCAACTATCACACCTGTAACTGAAAGCATACACAGCCACAGTTGTCTTGAATTCCTCCAGAAGCAGTGGATGAATTTAATTTGACTGATTTAAAGAAAAGATAGCTGTCAGCCATACATATTGTATTCTTACTTTTAACAAGATATTTGATAAACATTGATCATTTCCAGGGAATTGTAATGGTACATTTGTAATGTGAATTTGAAGTGGATGGGTAATTGCCTAGCAATAATTTTCACAGTCCTCACACCGGCTACACGTCTTTGTTTGTTTGTTTGTTTTTTTCCAGTGTCATTTCCATAGATCAAGCAGTTAATTAAAAACAAATATCTCAATCATGCATACTCTGATGTAACCAAATCTCAGTGCCTGTAATTAGAAGGATGTCAGGTTAAGCTCATGAGTCTGTAACATATGTGATAATGTAGGACATTGAGGATGTCACACTGGAATTGATTATACCTGAGTTCATCTGGTTCTTTTAAATTTGTTGTTGATGTTTTATTGTTAACTTCAGCCTCACCGTGATTTCCTAGTATCTCCGATATTGTTACTACTTCCCAATTGGTTTGAATATGTAATGACCTCCATTTGGTAAAGTATACCATGTTTAACAATTAGTCTATAGGAATCAAGAGGCCTAATGGGTCTGTTTAACTTGTGTATTCCTAAATTATGTTTCAGATTCATTAGCACCTTGGGAAGAAGATTTAATATGTCACCTTTGACTTCTGTTATGTGCAAGTAAATGTTTCAAAGTTCCAGATCAATGATAGCTTAGTGGGTAAAGCATTAGATTTCACAACTGCCAGTAAAGATATGTGTTATTCAGGTCCCACCGTGAAGGATTGAGAAGTTAAGATCACGGTTTGCATGTGTCCTGTGCTGCTGTGGATGTGCCCTTGGGCAAGACACTTTATCCAAATTACTGTGGATAGCATGGGGCAGCCCTCCTCCTGATGTTCATTGAGATAGGCTTCCAGCAAATACAAGGAGGTCCTTCTTAAAAAATAACCTTTTCTGTTCATGGTGTGTTAAACCAAGCAAAAGAAACGGACAGACAAAACTTCAACATGTTACAAGCTATGTTATAAGGATAATTATTCACTTGACCGTCACTGTTCTTATTCTCCTTGTACTTCTCCGTGTAAACCTTTCTTTTTTTCATATTTTACCTTAGTTTTATGGAATATAAGTTTGGATTATGATAATGTAGCCATGTTAATATGTTTTATCTACCTCTTGTGTGAAACTGGATATGTAGAATTAATAATATTCAACACTGTCTATAAAGGTCACTCAAGGAAGCAAAGAAAAGTGGCCTTTATACAAAGATGGCCTTTATAGAGGTCCAATTACTATGAATTGCAATACACAGGGAAACTAAAAAGTGACCTCTGTAGATTGGTGACAAAAATAAATAAAAAAATTTAGTATTCTTTAAGAAATAGCAAGAAACTCTTAAAGTCTGTGACATTTTGGTTATTGCATGCTTATGACTAGTCTAAAAGTTGAGCGGTACCATAAAGGACCAAGGAAATCTGATGTGAAATTTGAGAAATCTGTCTATAAATTGATTACTTCTCAAAAATAGCCACAGCAAATTTTATCTTTCAAAATACAAGATGGTGAACTTTCGGTAATTTTGCTTCTGAACAGTCTCAAAAATTTAATTGGACACCCAGGTAATTAAGCTGCATGTATTTTGCGAAAACGTGATTACAAATTGTAACTTTCAGAACCTAAGATGGCAGCCACCTTTCTCTATTCTCGTATTCATTCTCCATTATTCGAGCATTTAAAAAGTAGTCCACTGAGAGCCCCATGTTAATATAATTACACCTAACACACTTTAGGTGTTCATGCTTAACACTAAAAGCAGGGACGTATATGTCATATACGTCCTTGCTAAAAGATAGCAAAAATTTCCAAGTTATACTGGCATTTCAATGCAACTTGTCTGTGAAGGACCATTTCAGCAGAGGTGCATTTTTGTTAAGCTGTATTGTTCATTCCACTGTGGTTAACAATTTACATTCCATGGTAATTCTATATATTCTATCATCTCGTATTTTCGTGACTCTGTACAAACATGTTGAAAGGGGAAAATTATCAAACACATTTCCCCAAAAGTTGGATTTTAAGAGGCTTCAATTTTTCCAGTTCACGCAAATGTAAACCATTCTACTGAAAGACAAAATAACAAACCATTCTAGTAAAAGACAAAATTTAAAAAAAAAACACAGAAAAAAATTATTTTGTTGAAATCATGTCGAGATTTGGACTACTATTTTTCGGTAAAATTACTACTGTAAACAAGAAGTAAAATAGCTTTACATGCTAATTCCGGATTTTTGATAGCGATCTTATCTGAATTTTATTTCAAGAATCGGGGTGAGAGAAACGCTTTGTTTGATGTCGTGCGAGGAAAATGGCAGAGACGACCGAGAACTTCAACCTCGTCAAGTTGAATCAGCTCTTTCTCGGCTGTTTCCAAGAAGACGATGTTATAGATTTAGATTCGTACGTTAATGCGTACGATGAACTGAGCAAGTAAGCGGATCGATTTTGTTTTTTTTATGTTGTCAATTTATCATATTCCGAAAAAGCGTTTGAACGTTACAATTAATTATTAACCGGCTGGGGAATATCCTTGGATTTGGAAGAATGTATCAAACTGAAAACTCTAACTCATCCACAGATCTTAGTGGATAACGTCTAAAACTTTAAAAGCAGCTTCCTGTGAAGTTATCGAGTCAAGAGAGATACAACAAAATTGGTAGAGCGTCAGACTGCGGACGTATACCCGGTAATACAGAGGAATAAAAAGCTGTATATATCACATTGTAACGCTAAAGCGAAATAATTCGAGTGAACTGTCTTACTGTGTTATGAAAACACGTTTCTCTCCAAAAGTACTTTTTAAAATAAACTGTAGTAGAAAGTTTAATATTTTAAAATTTATTGTGCTAGTTATTGTGACAAAAATTCTGTCCACTCTCGATATTTATGAAACAAAAATGCTATTTACACTGGAATATTACCCTATGTTGTATATCACTTTCAGCTGAAGTGATCTTTACTTAAATGGCATTAAATTGAAAAAAAACTGGGTAATTTTCTAATTGACTGGTGTAAGGTTTGTGATACTTAAGTAATATTCATTAGTATTATTTTTCTACAAAAATGAGATTCACTTCTCAGTGACAAACAAAATGGCTCTGGTCAGTCCTTACTAACTACAATATTGGGGCATGCAAACACAAAAGCTAACTGGAGATATGTCTCCACTGGGTCTAGTTTGTTTATGATTGGAAACAACAGGCAGATATGAACTTTCAAACGAACTGACTCAGTGCATGGTCTCCCTAATAAGAGACAGGTGCCAAGTCAAGCTTGATGTCCCTGCCCATTTTAGTAGTAAATTCATATATACACACATTAGTATAAAGAGCATGATTTTATAGCATGCATTGAATCTTTAACAGTAAAACACATCAGAATTGACAGCATACATGAGCTAATTTGTATAAAATATAAATATAAAACTTCTTTTCAAAACTGTTTTACAAAATCTAATCTCTGTGGAAAGCTGTAAGTATGTAACATTACAACAGGACAGAGATTTAGCTGCACACTTGTTGATGGGATAACATGACTGTGCTGTTACCCACAAAGTTCTACTCATAACATAAACATGATAATTTAGGGCCATTTTCATGCACAATAAAAAAAAAACTTGCAGAATTTGTGAATGCCAGTAACATTCAAAATCAGGAGCCTTTCATGGTCATAGCCGAAATAAGCAATCATCCTATGGGCTAGATACCCAAAAAAGAAATTTGTAGGTGGTATATTATTGTTATGTTGTTGTAAATTATTAATCATTGACCAATCAGATGTCCTGTTACTAATATAAGTGTGCTTAAATTCATTTTATTCTGTCAGTTGGCTATAGTTAATAGACTTAAGAATATACATGTATTTTCAAAAGCAATTCTATGTTAGTTAAAAAAGAATATATTTTATCTTGCAGATTATTTGGTCTTCTGGGTAGTATATTTGGCTTTGTTGTCGCAGATGTTGTGGAAAAGATAGAAATACTGAGGGACTATAGAAAATCTCCTGAGGGAGAGCATTACAAATCTGTGCAAAGTATGATTAGCTATGAGGTACAGCAAAATATCACAGATAACAAGAAAAAGGCTTCAGGAGCAAGGACCTTGCTTCGACTTCACCGTGCGATGGAGTTTACAGCAGAGCTTATGAGAGATGTGCGGAATGCTGAAGAGGGGGCAAAGATGTCCACCATAACAAGGAAAGCTTACGATGGTACATTGTCTAAACACCACCCTTGGCTTATACGTAAAGGTGTTCATGTTGCGATGTACACACTACCATCACGGAAACAACTGCTGGAGAAAATTATGTTAACTGATGACCAGTCAAAGGTTGAAGACCTTATGGAGGCAGCAAATCTTCAGGGAAAGATGTATGATATCATTCAAGATATATACAAGAAAGAAAATCTTCTCAATTTACCATGATTTAACTCTTAGGATATATGTATTTTTTAATTTATTGCTTTACAAGGATATCTACAGTTTTTAATTTATTGCTTCACAGGAACACGATGTTCATGTTGTTTACAGAATTTCTCTGCAGTGAGACTATTAAGATGCTTATTAATTCTAGACTTGAAGAATAAATATTGCAATGGTCTGAATATAGAGTGAAAATAAAAGTTGGTTTTATTAATTTTAAAAATCAGAGTTGCAGGCCTTTGGATGTCATCACCAATTGAAATGAAAGTTGTAATAATTAAACAAACATTGTTTACAATTGAAGATGAAATTATCTTATGGAAAAGAAGTTTGTGATTGTGGGTGAGATGAATGCTGCAGTAATACGGGAGAGATATTTTCTCTTACCCTGGATAGGTAAATCCACCCTTTTTCCCGTTATGAGATTTCCTTGTCTCAAGGGTTGAGACATGCAACCCCCATTGAGGCATGCAACACATGCTCTTTGCACGTTGTGAAAACATTTGAAGTGACGTCAATGACATTATCCAGAAGTGGAACTACTTTCATGAGGTCACACATATACACTAGTTCATTTGCTTCTGAAATCTTGTGTTATCCTCAAAACTGAAAACCCTGTGTTATCAAAATATTATTAAAAATATATATAAAATATCAAGAGTATAGATTTATTTGCCATTTTATTGGCTTGTGTACTTGAATTATACTAGGTGCAAGATTAAATCAAAATCTGTGAAATGTCTGAGGCACGGGAATTGTCACTGTTCATACAGCATCCACATGTTTTCGTTTACACACAATACGCTTCATCTTGCACTTGGACAAGGCAAACAAGGTAAGAGAAAAATAACCATTCACCCGCTTCAGAATGCAACAGGGGATCTCAACCCTTGGGGGAAGATTATTAAGCTGTAAAACACTTGGTAAGCCTCATGTTTGACAGCTTGATGATCTGCTGCTTGGGTTGACATCCCCATATTTCACCCATAAAGGAGTGAAAGATTCTATTAACCTTGGATGGGAGAGAGGTATTATCATAATGAAAACTATAAATATAATGAAGAATTGTTGCTATTGTGTTTGAGAGGAATGGAGAGATGACTGTCTTAGAATATAGATAAAGCTCACTATATATCACTCTCTTTGTAAAAATGTGTTAAACTTTTAAATTCAGAACATGACAAGAACAGATCTGAAAAAATTGACAATGTAGAAAATCAGAAATATTTATTTGTCCCAAAATAATGTTAATTCATTGTACCGTGTTGTGTATTGTGCTTTTTTTGTGGAAGTAGTCCTAAATACTTTCTAATGTATCTTTTTTCCCCCTCAAAAAAATTTATGCTGATAAGCTTTAAAAGTAATACAATTATAGTGCTAGGTATAGTTGTGTTAATTAGTGCTCTGTTTTAGTGAGGCTGTGATATGAAATATGGTGTACACCCACATGTGCATAATGATATTGCTGTAAAGTTGTTGGATTATACAAACAAATAAACAAGTATACTGAAAGTAAACCCAATACGGCTTATCATTTCTATATCATAGTCAAGTAGCTTATAATTTTGGAAGTAAAATTTTATTAGGCAGATAAATCACTTAATTACATTAAAAATGTATTCTCAGAAATTATTTAAAATGTGTCGTTGAAAATAAAAGTTTAAAGGAAATTGTGTTTTTGAAATAAGTTTGCAGGCAGTTGTGTTTTTTATATATACATAAACATATATCTACAGATGTTACGGATGTGTTACTTGGGCTTATAAAGTTTATAAAGAGTTATCTCCACTTTATCTGAACATTGGAATTTCAGAAATGTGTCTGCAATCAATTTATCCTGTCCAAATTTCTTTTCAGAATTATTCTGGAAAGCAAGTGTACAACAAGGCAGCATATGTCCTCATTCCAGACTGATTGTTTCTTTTGAGTAGATGATAAATGCTGTACAAAGTGTTAGAAACAGTCATGAAAGGTCTGCTTTGAATTAGCATCAGATTGTAATGTCAGTAACATATGATACAAATGTTGTAAATAAATTGAACCAAAGTTTTTGCCTAATGCACAGGTGTAAGGAACAATTTCGAACGATTTGCTTGTCATTGGAATGAATTGAATGTCTGACATTATTAAAGATTAAATGAAATCATTTAGTGTCTCAAACTTTACTTTATATCAATCTGTGATACATTGGGTTTGTGAGTGATGTTTTTGTGTTATGTCTACTATTTTAACTATATAATTGTTTTGTAACCTTTACACGAGACGGGAGACCCACACTTATTGATTTTTTTTCATGTTAAAATCTATCAGCTGTGATATTTTTGTTAAATGAGTTCCAAAGTTTTCGTTGTGTTCTGTTGATACATAAATTCTTTTGATATACAAAGAAGTAAAATTTAAATGAGGTCAGAAATTATTGATTGTGTATACATATCAATCTATCATCACAAAATCTGCATGTTCTCTAGGGAATTAAAGTGACATCACGGTAAAACATGTTTTTCCTTACCAATATTTAGTTTTTGCATTTATATATAAAGTGTATCACCTTCTGAACAAAGGTAGTTGGTTTTTGCTGACATATGCACAAAAAGAGGTGATCTTATAATAATATAAGGGAAATCCAGTTTGAATTTGTAAATTTTTGTATCATACATGATAACGCCTGCTCACGATCACAAAATGCCATCACCTGTAAAATATGACTTGCCGCCTGAATCAGTTGGCAATTAATGCTATTTATTCGTAATTCTGAATTGATTTAGAGTTATCAAATAACATTTGCTACACCCATGACAAAATCAGGTGCTAAAAAAATGGATTTTACTGTGTCACTGTCGTCACTGTCATTTCTGCCCACCATCATGTGTTTGTGTTTTGAAAATGAACTGCCTCATTTTCAAAATTATTGCGTGATGTTATCAGCACTAATTATGTATAAATTTGAGAGGGGTTTCCTGAACTTTAAGTGTAATAAAAAACATGTACATAGAGAACATCTTATCAGTGTCTTTAAATATAAGCTGTATTTTGGCGAGGGTAAAGGAAGACCTCAGCCAAAATACAGCTTATATTTTAAAACATTGACCATGTAATCTATTTATCCCGATTGATTAACATTGATTGATAATCAGACTATTGAAACTTAAAACAGTTTTGGTGTTCAGTCTTTATTTACCTGACATTGATGTAATGCTGAATTTTGCCTGATTTTTATTTTTGCATAGTTCCAAACTTCATCTGATATAACAGCGATTTTATATATTTTCATGAATCAACTTCTTCATTACAACATGTAAAATCACTTATTTCAACAAGTATTTATAACGCTAAACGAATATTTAAGTAAATTCAAAGAGTAATTCTATTGAATTTCTGCATGTGCTGAAATACAGCTGTTTTCCCATCACTGCCGTGTACAGTAAAATGTATGTGGCAGGTGTTTTCCGACAATGGCACTGCCAATTACAGGATTAAATCAATAACAAATTGAATATCTTTACTGTGATGTCCCTTTAATATGTAATATTTTAAAGTATTTTCAATGGTGTAATATACTTTGGAGAGTTTTTTGTTGGCTGTGCAAGTCAGAAAACAATTGTGATGTCATAATATGGACAACAACATCACATCATGAATTAAAAAAATTTCACAACAAATGACTGCCCCTATTTGATTTCGTTCTCCATGTTTTTACTTGAAAACCTGTCAAATTGTAACAATCATGGGACAGAAAGTATCATAAAGTTGTTTCTGTTTCGAACCAAATTTGTAATTTTTACTTATATCACATATGAAATGAAAACACATTTAAGATTGTATAGTTATTACATGGTATTTGAATATACTGTTAAGGTTGGGTTTTTTCGGGGTTTTGTTCTGCAGTATGCTGGGGAATGGAATGAAACTGAAAAAAAAAACAAAACAAAAATTGAAAAAAGAAAACAGTCGTCTGGTTTTACGACTTCTGTGAAAAGTACATCCCTTTTGTTAACAGCCTTTTGTGAATGTACAAAAGTTTGAACCATCAGGGAAAAAAAATACCTTCACAGTACTTGGATTTTTTCTTTCTTCAAATCTTTTCTGTGGGAAGCACTGAAAATACCACAAAATATATTTTCATTATCCTGACTATGATACACTGACTGTATTGATTTTATTAAACCTTTTGAACCTTTCATGCTGTTGTTGTTAATGAGTTTTTAACATCATGAATCATGCTAATATTTAAATTTCTGCTTCAGCCTACGTACCGTAAAGCCATTATTTTGTTCCTTCAAAAGGGACAATAACGTGTGTCAAATAAACAGCCAAATTAAATACCTTCAACATGTTTTGTGTGGCCTTACAAAGCAGTTTCCAGAATATAGCATGTACATGATATATACATGCAAAATATATTATCTGACTGCCTGTAATAAAATGTATTGAGATGCTTTTGGGAGCCACAGACACTGGATCGGTACTGTTGTTGAGCGAGTTGCTTCATTTCTTGATAAAATTCATTTAAATAAAAAAGGGACCCAAAAGTTGTTATTTGCATTACAGAAGTATCTTTACTATAAAACAAAGCTATGTTGAAAAAATCTACAGAATGAACATGATGAATTCTAGACAAAGAAATTCACAAAAAGTGTTAATACATAGTAATTTTTATTTTTCAGAAAAATGTAACAATTTGTACACTATAATACATTACATATTAATCTATTTGTAAAATTATCATAAATATACAGGATTGCCCTATGTGATGAAATCTTCCCTTTAAGATAGGCCATGTATGAATATTTCCATTGTTTAGTAGTGAGTTATTTCATCAAATACTCTACAAACTTTATATGACAAGTACATTTCAACACTACATCATAATTGGTGTCCTAAACTCTGACTTTTCCTTGGGAAAAAAAACACCATCAAATATATCATTTGTACCACCTCTTCTGTGTTTAACAGCCTTTTTGCTTGAATGAAAATGCACTATTGAAAACAACTTACCAGTGCTATTGAAACATACCATAGCAAGTTAAGTTCTGCATATAGAATTTGTCTTCTTTCCCTGAGAAACTCTTAAGATTTATAAACTTACACTTCTTGAACAGTCACTCCAGCAAAAGTGAATCTATCCTATCCAAAGACTCATGGTTTTGGTGACCTTTTTCCAGAATTAATTTACAAGACCATGAATAAAACTAATTCAGATTTGAGTCCTGGCATGAAGTGTAGATATTTTCTGGAATAGCTTTGATTTTTTTCTCTCTCCAAGATGTGGATCAAAAAGTGAAATCAGTCCTGATGAAAGAAGGTAAATTATTTGTTGTATCAAGTTAGTTAAATTAATTCATTAGGAGAATAAGTGTTCCTTTCTACTTGTGTGCTACTGTTTGACAGGCTGCCTGTAAATATGTGGCTGTTTGAAACGTATCCATATATGTGATACTATTTGAGAGGTATAGACCTGAGTGTATATATGTGATACTGTTTGACAGGTATAGACCTGACTGTATATATGTGATACTGTTTGACAGGTATATGTCCTGTTTGTATATATGCGATACTGTTTGACAGGTATATGTCATGTCTGTATATATGTGATACTGTTTCATGGTATAGACCTGTCTGTATATATGTGATACTGTTTGACAGGTATATATGTGATACTGTTTCATGGTATAGACCTGTATGTATATATGTGATACTATTTGACAGGTATATGCCCTGTCTGTACATGTGATACTGTTTGACAGGTATATGCCGTGTCTGTATATATGTGATACTGTTTGACAGGTATATATGTGATACTGTTTCATGGTATAGACCTGTCTGTATATATGTGATACTGTTTGACAGGTATATATGTGATACTGTTTTATGGTATAGACCTGTATGTATATATGTGATACTATTTGACAGGTATATGCCCTGTCTGTATATGTGATACTGTTTGACAGGTATAGACCTGTCTGTATATATGATACTGTTTCATGGTATATTTGTGATAAAATCATTCATTGCTGTTTATGTATGACACAGCCAGGTCTAATATGCCAATGTAACTGTGTCAGTGTGAAAGACTGTAGAAGGTATTGTTGTAAAGGAAAGACATTCACAAGAGGTTTGCAGATTTAAAGACATTCATACATCACATGTTTATTTCCAACCAATCAAATTCAACCATTCTACCACTTTTCACTTCACACACTCGAATAATACATCTATTTAAAGTGTTACAAAAGAAACCAGAAACGTTTTAACATTGGTACTGGTTTGGCCAGAAGTCAAAGACATGACACAGAATACATGGTATTGTATGTTACGCAGATATATTTCCAACTGTAATAATATCAAGTTATCAACAATCAAACACAAAATTCAGTACTCCACATTCTCCTTCTCATGCACACAGTACCGACCACTACCTATCACCTCCTGCACACATGATTTGGCTGTCTCCATTCGCTTGGTCTGTTTTTGATGGATGATTACACGTGGTGAGTTCATATCGACTGTCCTTGTGGCTAGAGGTGATCGCGTGTTGTCCTTATTTAAAGATGAGGGACGTTTAGGAAACAGTTGCTTTGGCTGTGTTGGTTTTATAGGCTTTCTGTGAACAGTTTTCTCTATATGATCTGTAATACAGAATTTTAAAGGTACGGTAATCAATGTTTTTAATTATGATGCGAACCTTATTAAGATGTTTTCTTTAATTAACTTCAGAAACAATCATTTGAAACTTGTTATATAATTATCACAACTGTTTATTGAGTTACAGTACATTTTAACAAATGATCTATGTATGACAACCCCTTGTGTTCCTGTGACCATTGATATCATACCTTTGTAAACAAATTGCATTGCATCATCATTTGATTTTTTCTCTGCTATGGTCATTTGGAGGCTGTCAAACTCACGAAGAAGTTCGTCTGTATCTTCCAATTTGTCATCTGTATCATCAGCAGCTCCTTCATCTACAAGGTTTGGCATCAACGGCACCCGGTCCTGGGTCAGACGTGATTCTACGAACATGACATCATTAAAACATGATATACTGAAACATACAACAATAGTATACAACTTATTAAACTTATCATAAATCTGAAAGTATCACTCTTCCCAGAGGTAAGGAGTTATTGTGAACAAAGAAAGAATATTAGATCTTGAGTTAAATCGCTTCTTAATATCATGAATGGAGCTGGAAGGGTATACAATTCTTGTTATCAACCTATAGGGCAACAGAAATGAGTATCAAACAAGAGATCCCAGACAAATCCTAGTACCCATCACTGTGCGGTCTTAATTTTTCAAAAATTTGAATCATTTCCTTCGTTTTTTAATTTTCTTTCAGCTGTTCTCGCCCTTGATTTCATGAAATTTGAAAACTCCTCTGAAGAAATAGCAATAATAATCTTTAACTGCCAAATCCAAGATGGTTGTCTATTGGACATTCTGTTTTTCTGATCAGTTCCAAATTCAGGTCACAACTAGGGACCAAGCGGAAACTACATATGAGATTTGAGAAATATCTTCACAGTTTACAAGAAATAGTGAAAACAAACCTTCACTGTCAAAATCCCAACACAGGCACTGGTCAGTCATTGTTTACAGATGGACAGATCACGAACGTAGGGCGAATTGAATCACCATGATATCATATATGTTTGCTGGCAACGCTAGCAGCCATAAGTAGGGAAAATGTGAAAAAAGGTGAATGAGACCTACATGACGGAAGTATGGACAGTCAAACTATTATATAACAATTGTGTGTGATTATGTTGTCGGTACCATAATTTTTCAGCAAAATATATTAAAAGTTAGGCTTTACTGGATCCCCCCAAAAATAAACTTTTCAGATTCATTTCATATTAACAGCATGCAAAAACTTTAGACTTTTTTGTCATGTTTACATATCAAATATGCAATGTAAAACACAAAGTACAAAGTTTGCATCTTTTTACCCTGGTATCAAGGTAAGAAGAAATCTCTTTCAGTAATTTAAATATAAATGACTTTAAACTGACTCTGCTGCATTCAACAAGATATTGTATATATATTAATTTTCAAAATCTGGGGTTTCCCCCTAAAGCACACACCAAAACAAAAGATCCCAAAGGGATTTAGACTACCACCAGTATACATTACATGTATGATCTTTATTGATTCTCTATAAAATGAAATTTTTCTTTCCTCTTATTTGCTCTCCATTACCAGTATATGTTGTATTGATGGGTGAAATAATGGTAAACCTACATACATAATCTTAAATAAATATCTACATTGATCACATCTAAAAGAACCAAGGAGGAACATAATTGAGAATAACTGTAAAAAGAATTGTTTTAGGACAAATAACAGACCACAAACCTAGGGTGATTTGAATATCTGATGATGGCGGGCAAAAAATAATAAAATTCTAAAACATGGTCTGTAAAATCTTGCAAACACATTGTATTTTGAAAAGATATTGGTGTAATGAAGTTCCCCCTTTGTGATCTAACTATATATCAAGTTTGGTTTAAGTTTCAGCAATTAAGTTTTTTAGACAGGTGCACAATATGAAAGGTTACTTATATTACTGGTACTGAAATGTTGTACAAAAACAATTTTCAACAGGAATCAGTAGTCTTAAAGTCTCTGCCACCTACTTATGGCTACAAATCCATTTTTACTGTGTTTCCTATTAAATGTTTGGAGAGCAACCGGTGCACATTTTGAAACAAAAACATTTTTTTTAAACAAGTGATGTACATGCAGAAGTATTGGAATCTATGTGTATTTCTACAAGACCAGCTACTTACCAGGCATAATGGTGGCAATGGGAGTTCGAACTATCCCCACAGTTGGTGACCGCGGGTCAAGCAGACCCTCTGGAGTCTTTTCCACAATAATTGGAGTCCTTGTTATTCCCACCGACGGAGACCTGGGGTCAAATTCATGGTCCATGACACGTTTGTGAGTACCAGTGCGAGGAGGCGTGATCATCTCTCCCTCTCCAAAGTCAGTTTTACTGTTAGCCATGCCCATGTTATTAGTTATCTGAAATCATGATCAAAATATCACTGTAATCTATACATGTAATCAGACATTTAAAACAACTTAACCTCAGATCTTTAATTAAATTCTAAGAATTGTCAAATTCATTTCATTTGTAGTCTTTGACGTAAAAGCAATTTCAAATCCACTTAGTAAATATGCCTTAGATTGCCTTCCATTTTGATAATTTCCATTCTAACACTCAAATATAAACCATGCATTTTTTGAAAACTGATTTACAACAATACACCTTGGGTCAAACTGGTTAACTGGTTATATACCCTTGACACTATCTTCCATCAATGCGACTAACTCCTTTTCCTCCTCAAATAATGTTTAAAATGTATTGGAACATGCAGAAAGAGTACAGGAAAGCCTGAGCTCTCACTCAATAATAGATAATGTGAAAATGAAATTTATTAAGAAGTTTGTAAAAGTCAAACTTAGTCAGTACTTTGTGTACTGGTAACCAAACAATAGGTACTCAAACCCTCAACCATTTTTTGGGTACGAAACTTTTCTATTTCTCCCAGCAATACTTACCAGAACAAGAGACCAATAGAGTCTGTATTACTCACCTGGTTTTGTTTGCTGAAATTGCTTGATCTTAACTTAATCAAAAGCAATTAAAAAGACTTATATCAATATCCCCTACTAAACCCTGACCCTCTGCTACAAAGACCAATGATTAGATTGTGACCAAATTTAGTCTGAAGCATGTTTGTGTGAAGAAAGTCAATTTTGTATAAACAGTGGGTCTTGGGCCCCTGAAGCAGGTGAGGTGGGGTGCATTAGAAAAAAGAGGAAAAATATCTTTAAAATCCTACTATTTCTGTTTGAATTATTGCATTTTGCCCAAATGCGATCTGATGCACCCTTGGGAAAGAGCAAATCAGTTTTGTATACACTGGTAGGTCTTGACCCCCTAGGATGAGAAGGGTTTTAGCCCTAATTTTGGTCTGAAGCATCCTTAGGTAAAGTGAATTCAATATTGCTTAATCGTTCTTCTTGTGTAAGTAAACATGGATTCTGTCCAAATTTGGTCTAATGCATCTTCTGAACAAAATGGAATCAGCTTATATAAATGGTGTGTCTTGGTCCCCATGGGGCAAGATAAGAAAATTCTTTAAAATCCCTTCCCTGTTGTAGGAAGGTCTGAATTATGTGCCAATTAAGTCTGAAGCGTATGTGGCTGCTGGGGGAATCATTATTGTATAAATTATGGTTTTCGTTCTCCTGGGGCCAGACCCAATACAGAAAAAAAATCACATTATCTAAAATGCTTCCTTTCGGGAATGCCTGGATTTGTTCCAATCTATCTGAAGCACCCTTGGTTAAAGCTTGTTTAATTTTGAATACCGAAGTAGTTTGCTTTGTGTACGTGCTGCATGCCTAAATCTATCAAATGAGAAATGTATCTGTTGTTGATAATCGAAAGGACGAATGAAGAAAAATATCTGCTATTGAGCTAGTTATCTTAATCTTGTTGTAATTGGTGTAATAGATAGACATCAGTATTAAACAACGTATTATCTTTTTGTCATTCGTTTTTTGCTTTTACAATAACAGCAGCAATACAAAATACTTACATTAATTCTTCTTCTACTCTATTAGTTTTTCAAGCTTTTTTGAAGTTCCCGCCCTCACCAATCAAATCCACTCTTATATTTGGTCCGCAACTAAGTAACGGCTCATTTGATTGGTTATGGCTTTGTTATGCCAATCTGAATCCGGGATGTGTTTACTGATATGACAAATTAGCATTTCCTTTATAAGCTTGAAATTGACTTGGGACAACATCTCGGAGAATGATCATGCTTCTTTCATGAATGAGACATATTTGTTTGTTTGACTGATTATACACACGAATCCTCAGTTTTCTTGACTTCATTAACTGCGTGAAAGGTTTCTGGAATATTTTATTCGCTTTTGTATGAAGGAGTTTTTTATTGCAAGATAATAAGTTGCTAGTTTATTGTCAAACAACTTCCGTTTGATATCGCATCAACTAACTTATAATTTGTAGTTGTGTTATATTTTTATATCTACAGTTGTGTCTCGTGAAATGATGCACCCAGTGGAAATGGTGCAGTAACAGAGAACGTAAACTTTGTCAAAACATACACATTGAAATCAACATAAAGGAGTAGAAAAATGTTTACTATGCCATACTTCAGTGTGTTTAGTCTTAGTTAAAATGATATAATTAGAGAAGGCGATCCTTAAGGCAACATCGCTTCTTGTCATCAACAGCTAAGCAGATTTTGGCCAAATTTTGTCAGAAATATCCTGCAGGGAGAAGAACAAATGTTATGTAAATGGTGGTTCTTGGGGGCCCAAAGGTCTTAGGGGCAGGGCCAAAGAGGGGAAATAGAGCAATTGTATGAAATACTACTCCTGTAGGAATGATTGGATTTTGCCCAAATTCATTCTGAAGCATTGTTAGGGGAAGGTGAATCAGTTTTGTACAAATGGTGGGTCTCCATCCCCTAGGATGAGTGGGGCAGAGCCCAGTATTGGAAATAAGGCTAATCCTTTAAAATCCTTCTTCTCCTATAGGAATGATTTGGTCTGAAGTATGAATAATTTGGCTGACCCCAAAAGGACAGAGGGTTGGGGTCCAGTAGGAAAATAGTTGTTTTGTGTTGTGTGGTTGGATATTTAGAATTCCTTTGCAAAACAGACCCTATAGGCCTCTGGCTGATAATATTAGCCTCAGCTAAACAAATTATTTTTTGTTGCATCAATTCCTGTTATGTAGATGAAAGGTCTTTCAGATATTGTTTGTATAGTGCTCTGCTCATGTTCCTTTCAAGAGCTTTGCTTCATCTAATATAGTGCATTATAATTAGTCTAGATGAGATTTTTAGTCACTGGACGTCTTACCACCTCTTCTGTGTCGTTCTGCTGGATGTCTTGGTCATCATAAACTAAGGGAGGGAATGTGGAGGAGGTTGCATTTATTCTCCAAAATGTATAAGAAATGTGTCAATAAAGATCTGAAATTTTGTTGCTACATTCAGCAAGGTAGATCCTAGATGTCAATATCATGTGAATATTAAATTCTTTAAAATATATAGTCAAACCTTGTTTTCTGGAACTCTTAAAACTTAAAGACCCTGTATAATTTGATGTATTTCATTGGTCCTGCCCAAACTTTATAAATATTCATTCTTACTTAATTCTTATGTCACATACTTCATTTCTTTCTTTTGATTGTTTCAGGTATTTGAAATGGCTTTAGGTTCACTGTCTCAGCATTTGGCCAAAATTAAGTCTCCATTTGGAGGAGAAAAGGTTTTCAAGGATGAATGTGCATTTTCTTTTGATAATCCTGTAAGTATAGATAGTCAAATTTATCTTACTGTGATTTTTTTTTTCAATATTCAGGTTTGTGGTTTAAGTGAAATTTTAAAGCAAAAGAATTGTATTCTTTTATTGAAACCATGAACCCGACTGTTCCCTAGAAAACACTATTTTTTTAATACTTATTTGATTGGATTGTGTTTCATATTCAAATACCATATTGATTTAGTAAACATTTCTGGATTAACTAATTTCATAAATATACAAACTGACATGTTAACAAGGCAGAACAACTTGAAATGTCATATATTTATACAGACCAAGTCAATTTATATAGTTCAATGTATGTATTACTTGTGGTTTGTGTTTGATTTACAGGAAAGTGAGACAGGCTTGTATGTATGTATGAACAAGTTTATTGGACTTGGGAAAAGATTTGTTGAGGCTTACTACAGAAAAACAGGAAATGCTGTATTTCTACACCTGAAGAGAATCCGAAAGGAGGTTAAGTAGATAGAATTTAATTATACAGTGAATGATTTTTGATGAGTGATGATACATAAAAACATATATACGTACACTTTACAGTGTAGAAAGCATTGATATTCATGTTATACTCGTCTCCTGTATTGCCAATATGGTGTTCAGAAACTTGAAAACTGATCATGAGTCTACAGAAAAATGTATTCTTTATTTGGACAAACACAAAAGCAAAGAAAAAGTAAGGACATACAAAATTTGACAAATCCTGTATATTTAGAAACAAGACAGACTAAAATAATCAATGAGAAGTTATTTTTGTATAATAAATAAATTCACTGTGAAATAATTGTCTTTAAGGTGCCTCAAGATACAGAATCGCCACCGGAGAAAAAACCAACAAAAATGGCTATAGGTATTTTATCTTTCACTTGGAAGCTATTTTTTCATTGATTAACAAAAAAATTTAAGATTTTCTGAATTCTAAGCTCCTCTGTCATAGTATAGATCTAAGGATATACATAGCAAACTTCTTGTATTTCCTATGATGATACTAATACAAATATTTTCAATTAGCAATGTTCACATGCACTTTACAGAGAACCTGTAAAAAAAGGTTTTGTTTGTTTGAGTGTGTACTACTCAGGTCATTCTGTAAGTCATTATAACTCTACCCAGCTCTAACCGTTTTAGGTTTTTGACTAACACACATACACAGCTGATGGTGGTCTAACCTTCCTGGACAGTGATAAAGTCAAGGATTAAGTTGGGGCATAGTTGATTTAATAAGCCATGGATGGGAATGTGTATGTAGAGTAACGTAGCAGATAGATTAATATCTCATCATCTTATGAAGTTAGCATGATGCAGGGAATATATTTGTCAGAATTTCTTGTCTTTTTCTACATTAATATACTGCAAGCAGTTACATTGTTTATATAATTATATATTGTCTTCATCTAACCCCCTTTACAGGTGAATGTAGTCAGATACCCTCATGTTTTCTTGTCATTTTGTTTTGTGATTTTGACTTTACTACAATTTTTTGTTATGTGACAGGTCTTGAAGGTGGATTTAACGTAGATGAAAAGAAATATGTGTTTGAGGAGCAGAATTCAGTTGTAGTGTTGCCTGAGTGGACTGTAATTTCCCTGGATACTCCAGACTTGCCAGATATGGTAATCTCACACAATTCTTACACAGGCCTTTTGTCTGTTTGTTGGTTTAGTTTTGTTAACTTTATCAATAGCATGCAGAGGTTCACAATGCTAGAGGAAAGTACCGGGAGGAAACTTAGATGAAATGAATCCTGGCTGTCTTGGCAAGTGTGCTCTCTTTTGCACTACTAACCCTCCAGTCTATCAGATAGACAACTGATCTGTAGAACCTTGTAGTTACTGGGCTGTACTAAAGATAAAGAAGATCAATATGTCGATCTGGAATAAAGATTTGATTATTTTGCTACAGGTCCAGATCTCAGTCGCTGCGATTTTAGGGGCTGATGATGCATGGAAAATGGCTGAAGCTGCTGCCATGTCAGGGACGTGGGAAGGAGAGAAACGCAAAGTTTCCAAGTATGTTATAATCGTATTTAGAAAAGAAAGTAGTTTAAGTCTCTTATTGAAGTGATGATGAAATGTTCTCAGTACAATTAAACACATATTTCAGTCTGTATTTATAGTGCCTTTATGTCACTAATTAGGGTTTTAAATAGTCTTTTTAATAGTATTATATATCTGTTTATCTATATAACAGATTTTACGTCCACTATTACAGCCTTTCTGCCTTTCAGCAGACATAAGTACATATCTGTAGGGTAGTAGTGGGAAAATGATACCACACACTCCGTAAATCAACACAAAGAAAATACAACAATATACAGCACAAAATTAGAATTCAAAATAGAAATGAAATGTAGAACAAAAATCACTGACAATAGAAACAAAAAATGGTATCAAGAATCTGAGGGGATGACATTGTGGATTATAGTTCAAACATCTTGTAATATAGGTCTTGTTAATATACACACTGTACTGGTAGTGTTGGGTTTAACACTATATACTAATTCTGTGTATGGTATTAATCTGAACATGTTTTCTATGTAGAATTGTTATAAGATATAAATACATCATTGTATAGCTGCCTTCATTGTTCACTGCCACAGACATGCCGAGAATCTGAAACAACTCGACAATGGGAAAAAAATTCCACCCTCTGGCTGGAAATGTGAGAAATGTGATCTGACCACCAACTTGTGGCTAAATTTGACCGATGGCAGCATCATGTGTGGTCGTCGCTTCTTTGATGGCAGTGGAGGCAACAACCACGCTGTAGATTACTACGATGAAAAACGCTACCCTCTGGCTGTAAAACTTGGAACAATAACTGTCAATGGAGCAGGTGAGGCATGCTTATGTAAATGGCTTAACTACAAAAACATTTGGCCTGGGTAATTCACAACTCTGCCATATATTTGGGATATATAGCATTACCCATGTCCATTTGTCATGTCCTGTTCCATCCTGTTCTCAATCAATGTCACATCTGATTTGCTTCATATTTACATGTTAATATTATAACATCAAGTTCTACACCTTTTTCATATATGGTGGTCAAGATTAATGGCTGTGTGTTTTACCGTTTGATGGCCCTCATGACCTTTTATGTGTTGATGGACCATTAAGAATGTTACAATAATAATAATAGATTAATGGGTCAAAATTTATGTTTGATAATTTCTGCAAATCCATCAGCTATTTATATTTCAGTGTATGAGAGCTGGGACATTCATGTCTTACAGAAATTGGTAAATCTTTCTGATTTGTTTAGTTCAGTTGCATTTATAGGGACGTTTTGCCTCGAAACATATGAAAATATTTATTCTTCTAAACATATATAAACATATTAAATAATTTGTTGACAGATGTGTTTTCGTATGATGAAGATGATATGGTGGAGGACCCGTACTTAGACAAACATTTAGCTCACTTTGGTATCAACATCACATCTCTAGAAAAGGTAATGGCAAACCTCTGTCATCCACGACGGAGCTGTTAAACTACAGCCGAGCATTACATTGGTATCAGTATCACAGCTCTAGAACATGTACAATGATGGGCCTCTTCCATTCATGGCAGAGTTAATAAACTAGAGTATAACCTCATTAAAGATCTGCTGAAAAATTCTTGACCTTTTTCATAATATTGGTATATCATTTTCTCATTTATATATGAAATTCATGTTATTTAGATATGCATTGTTAAGTTGAACAAAGTAACACTCAATAATGTAATTGAATAGATATAAAAAGTCAAGATTTTTAGGAACAATGATTTTCAGTTAACATTATTGCAAGTTTAAATTTTAACTTTAAATTTAAATTTAAGTTGAAATCAAATTTAATTTAAAGTTTAAACAAAAACTATGTTATAAATTTGTTTTCAAATATGACCTTAATTGTTGGGAATATGAGACTGATCTTAATTGTTGGGAGTATGAGACCAACCTTAATTGTTGGGAGTTTGAGACTGACCTTAATTATTGGGAGTGTGAGACTGACCTTAATTGTTGGGAGTGTGAGACTGATCTTAATTATTGGGAGTGTGAGACTGATCTTAATTATTGGGAGTGTGAGACCGACCTTAATTGTTGGGAGTTTGAGACTGACCTTAATTGTTGGGAGTTTGAGACCAACCTTAATTGTTGGGAGTTTGAGACCGACCTTAATTGTTGGGAGTTTGAGACCAACCTTAATTGTTGGGAGTTTGAGACTGACCTTAATTGTTGGGAGTTTGAGACCAACCTTAATTGTTGGGAGTGTGAGACTGATCTTAATTATTGGGAGTGTGAGACCAACCTTAATTGTTGGGAGTGTGAGACTGATCTTAATTATTGGGAGTGTGAGACCAACCTTAATTGTTGGGAGTGTGAGACTGATCTTAATTATTGGGAGTGTGAGACCAACCTTAATTGTTGGGAGTTTGAGACTGACCTTAATTGTTGGGAGTATGAGACCGACCTTAATTGTTGGGAGTTTGAGACTGACCTTAATTGTTGGGAGTTTGAGACTGACCTTAATTGTTGGGAGTATGAGACTGATCTTAATTATTGGGAGTGTGAGACCAACCTTAATTGTTGGGAGTTTGAGACTGACCTTAATTGTTGGGAGTTTGAGACTGACCTTAATTGTTGGGAGTATGAGACCAACCTTAATTGTTGGGAGTTTGAGACTGACCTTAATTGTTGGGAGTTTGAGACTGACCTTAATTGTTGGGAGTTTGAGACTGACCTTAATTGTTGGGAGTATGAGACCAACCTTAATTGTTGGGAGTTTGAGGCTGACCTTAATTATTGGGAGTGTGAGACCAACCTTAATTGTTGGGAGTTTGAGACTGACCTTAATTGTTGGGAGTTTGAGACTGACCTTAATTGTTGGGAGTTTGAGACTGACCTTAATTGTTGGGAGTTTGAGACTGACCTTAATTGTTGGGAGTTTGAGACTGACCTTAATTGTTGGGAGTTTGAGACTGACCTTAATTGTTGGGAGTATGAGACCGACCTTAATTGTTGGGAGTATGAGACCGACCTTAATTGTTGGGAGTTTGAGACTGACCTTAATTGTTGGGAGTTTGAGACTGACCTTAATTGTTGGGAGTTTGAGACTGACCTTAATTGTTGGGAGTTTGAGACTGACCTTAATTGTTGGGAGTATGAGACTGACCTTAATTGTTGGGAGTTTGAGACTGACCTTAATTGTTGGGAGTATGAGACCAACCTTAATTGTTGGGAGTGTGAGACTGACCTTAATTGTTGGGAGTATGAGACTGACCTTAATTGTTGGGAGTATGAGACCGACCTTAATTATTGGGAGTGTGAGACTGACCTTAATTGTTGGGAGTTTGAGACTGACCTTAATTATTGGGAGTGTGAGACCAACCTTAATTGTTGGGAGTATGAGACCTTGTTGTGCAACTGAGAAGACCAAATTCAGTATTTATATGCTGACCATAGTAACAGGTTCTGGTCACAAATGATTATCATTGTTATACCAATGTCTGTAATTCCATCCATCTGCATCACCATTTCTGGACAATGACTTTATTCTCTACTTACCTATTGCAAGTGCTTGTTTGGATTGCTTTTTGAGTTGAAAGGTGAAATGTCCAGATCACCATTACTATAAAACTGAAATTTGTTCTCTCTCAATAACTCAACTTCCTGTTGACTGAATAAACTCAGATTTCACACAATGCTTCCCTACAGACATGGCTTGCTTTTTGATGTGAAAGGTCAAAGGCTAAAGTCACTGACTATTAATGGAAAATTTGTTTCTGCTCAATCACTCAAATTCCCTTGGGCAGATCAATTTCAACTGTCACACACTCCTTTCTCACACAACCTTGCTTGTTTATTCATGATTGAATCAGGTCAGCAACAATGTTAATATTAATAGAATATTCATTTTGACACAGTAAGTTGAATTCTGCCCAATAACGCAAATTTCCTGGACTGATCAATCTCAAAAATAGCAAATGAATCCATGGACTGTCCATTCTAAAAATTTGAAATGAAATTGGCTGACCTTATAGAAAATTAATTGTAATTTGATATCAAATTAAAACCTACATGTATACCACCAGAATTATGCTTTTCATGACATTAAAAATTCACTTGACTGACACATGGAGAAAAAACTTTCAGACAGACAAGACAATGGTAGAGATGGAAATTGATTTGAACCAGAAGATTGGAGAGTGGGACGTAATCCAGGAAGCTGGAAGCAAGCTAACTCCATTGTATGGTCCAGGATACACAGGCATGCGTAACCTTGGTAACAGTTGCTACATGAACTCTGTGATGCAGGTTCTATTCACCATACCAGACTTTGTACAGAGGTAGGTTGTTCCAGAGAGGAAATAGTTGTCGAAGAGAGGAAGGGGTTGTCATATGGAGAGAGGAGCTTTGTAGAGAGGTGGGTTGTTGTTCAGAGGAAAATGTTTTGGTATAAAAGTGGGTTATTCTCCAGAAGGGAGAAGTTGTATATAAGTGGGTTGTTCAAAGGAAGGGTTGTTTTATTTAGATGGGTTTGTGTCTAGAATAAGGGCATGTTGTATTACGGTGGGTTTTGCACAGAGGGAGGGGTTGTTTTATAGAGGTGGGTTCGTGTACAAAGAAAGGGGTTGTTTAATTGCAGAAGTTTTTTGTACAAAGGATGGGAGTTGTTTTATATAGATGGATCATGATACAGAGAAATGGTTATTGTGTAGATATGGGTTACAGAAGAAGTGGTAGTTTATTGTTTGTTTGTTTGAGATTTTCCCTTTATAGCTGAGAAATAAAAGCCTTATTATTGTGTTCCACAGGTACTGTGACAATGCTGTAGACATTTTCCAGTGTGCCTCAGAGGACCCATCCAGCGACTTTGTAGTACAGATGTGAGTAATCCCTCCAGTACTATGGTAAACTCATGTATATGTTAGTATAGCATTCCCTTAATGGTTTCAGTAGCTTAATAAAAAATAGACCAAAGACAATACTAAACTCAGCACGCATATTTGCATTCATTCAAAAGTAAGGAACTCTATAGATAACAAGGTTTTACATACCTCTTTATTACAGTAACAAGGCTATCTCAAAATAGTTCACAAATTACCATTAATGTCCATGGTTATCAGACCATTTGCAGGCTGTCAACCAATTCCTTTATTACTATATTTTCCTATACTTTGGTTCAAAGACCTTTATTTAGTATATTTTCCTATTTTTTGAAAAGTATTCCTATATTTTTCAGGAATTTTTTCACCAATAAATGTAGAGATTGTAAACATTTCTTTGATACTGCTTTTGGCTTCTTTATTTTACAAGTTAGAGAATTTGTAAGTAACAGCATCACCAGCATCACCAGCCACCAGAACATGATTCAGTGCATCTCTTTATCACCTGTATGGGCACCTTGTAAGGCAGTACAACATGTTATTGGCCTTTTAGGTGCCCATTCAGATTATGATTTGCTATGCATAAGAATTGTTAGTATAAATGACTTTGATTGAAAGGATTTTCGTTTGGAAAACTCCACTATTTTGCCTCAAAACTAGCAAAAAACTCCTAGATCTGTTGAAAAAATATTCCTATATTCCTCCTGTATTTTGAAGAAGACTTGGTTGACAGCTTGCTCTTGCTACTAGACGTAATCTTCTCTGGGGAGTATACAGCCAGAGCTGCCATTAGGCACTAATGTCTTGTAGACAATATTACAGTTGAGTCCTCTGTAACAAATCTAGAATAAAAGTATATTGTCCTCAGATACAGCAAGGTATCCATGTCAGAAATTAACTAGTGACCATTCCATCACTATCGCAATGTCCTACCACTAGACCACGGTGCTTGTATATATAGTATGTGGTATGTTTATTATTGGTATTTTTAGGGCCAAGTTAGGACTCGGCCTTAACAGTGGAGAGTACTCTAAACCGCCACCAGAGGATGTCAGTGAAAACATACTGGTAAGTAGCTTTCAGACCTTTCATAAAATACTCATCAATACTTACCTAATACTATTTAAAAGTGCATAATACTATGGCTTATTTTGTGTGAAGGAAATCTTCAACTGCATGGTACTATCCTTATATCTCATCTGATCATTAGCATTTTTTCACATTTTTCTGCGGAGAAATCAGTGTTTATATAAGTACCAACTGATATCTACTGATTTTCATCACTTCATTTATAAAAAAGAAATTTGGAAAGAAAAAAACATGATTATAAGTATTTTCCACTGATCACTGCCCCTAATCAGGACATTGCTCTCTAGGTACTGAAGTGTATCTTGTATAGGTTGGTTTTCATTAAATTTCTTCCCTCTACATTTCGGGATCTCTTTAATTTGGGATCAGAAAACAGTTTTGTAAGCAATTTTTACCAGATAACAGCATAGAAAGTGAAGCGACAGATATAAAAATGGCATTGTCTTGTTATGTCAATTGTATTGTCAAACTACATGTATCGAACGTTAGAGACCATGCTAACATTTCTCATACACTTTTGAACACCTGTTTTTTGTGTCACCTGCCAAAGGCGACATACAGGTATAACTATGTCAGCGCCATGGTCCGCACAAAGGTTTTTAGCAATAAATTGAGTTCAATATAGACAATCAGACTCAAACTTCATACAGTGCTTCCTTATCATAAGTGCTTGCTTGGTATTGCTTTTCATATCCAAAGGTCAATGGCCAAGGTCACTGTTACTATGAATAGGAAATGTTTTTTATGATGAATAGATGAAAATGATGTTAGACTACATGGATGAACAATCCAACAACAAAGAAATGGACAGGATTACTTACAACTTAAAACCTGAAAGGCTACAGAAGTACATTACCATTTGATGTAATACACATGAAACTATTTAAAACCTGTGACATTAAAACCTATAGAAATGAATTACTGTTTATATGATTTACAGCCACCAACAGGTGTACGTCCACAGATGTTTAAAACACTTATTGGACAAGGCCATCCAGAGTTTTCTACCAAACGTCAACAGGATGCACAAGAATTCCTCTTGCATTTAATAAACCTTATTGAGGTTAGTATATGTATGATTTATCAGAGTCTTCAGTAACAAAAAATGTGCTTCACAAGTGTGTTTAATGTTTCTGTTTCTTGCATGATTAAGTAGTAAAATACTAAAATATTAGCTACATAAAAGAAAAATATTTGAATACATGTATTTGTATCAGTCTTTTTGATTGGTAAACATGATAAGATGATCTGTGTTCTCCCTTTTCATTGGAGGAAATCAGCAGAGATGTTAGTTTTCATTGGAATGAAAAGGCAATAGATTTATACTTACTGTAATGAGAAGTAATACCTATCAATTCATGATGATATGCATGTGATGCATGTTCTGGTCTTAAACCTCACAGAGGTAAACGTTTATGTTACTGATGGACCAGTCAGAGGCTTTGTTTATCACTTATTCTGTATCTTTTTGTAAACCTGGTTACCAACTGTCAAAATATGTGTAGATATGAGGTACAATGGCGATTCTGCTGTACTATATCTTGAATACATATAGACAGTTATAAACATTACACATGCACATGCACACACACACGCACGCACGCATATATATTTAATCTGTTATATGAAATGGCAGTAATTAAACAGAAATAAAGAAATTTCTACTTTTTCTTTTAACTGTTTATTCATCAAAACAACAAAACAATAACAACTCCAATCAAATACATTTGTACTTACGCCATTCAATCCTGCACAGGTGGACACTACCTTTGCTGAGAAAGCATATATAAATCATATAGTTAAATCTGAGTTTGTTGCATTCCAGCAACGAAGGGCTTGTTTAGAAATACCTGAGGTGTCTATTTTAGAAAATGTGCATTTTTCAGAGAAATACTGGGGGGCAGGTCAATCCAACAGGAAGTATGAAGTTCCAAGTGGAGGAGAGAGTAGAATGTATGCAGAGTCATAAAGTGAAATATACGAACAGGTGTGACTATTGTCTGGCACTACCTGTACCTGTGGAGGCTGCCAATAACAAAGGTGTGTATCATATATCATGAAGGTGAGACGGTGTATGTCAAGGATCACTTCTCCATTCTTGTCATGTCATATTTGTCATGTTTTCATCTAAATGTTGTGGGTCACCATTCACTGCATAATGGTAAATCTTCTGATTTGGTTAACATTTTATTTATAAAGTGAAATGAGCAGGAATCAAACTTCAGCTGACCTAAGGATGTATGTTCAGTGTGGTTACTGATTTTAGTGTTCTATCCAATTTTAATAAATGTGTAAATAGTTAATTTGTTATAGTTTGCCATAAAAACATTTAAAAAGGCTGTTTTGTTTGTATGTGATGATGTGTAACTGTTTGTTAACAGATTAGGTGACACAGTATGTGATGATGTGTAACTGTTTGTTAACAGATGAGGTGACACAGTATGTGATGATGTGTAACTGTTTGTTAACAGATGAGGTGACACAGTATGTGATGATGTGTAACTGTTTGTTAACAGATGAGGTGACACAGTATGTGATGATGTGTAACTGTTTGAATTGTTAACAGATGAGGTGTTAACAGATGAACAGTATGTGATGATGTGTAACTGTTTGTTAACAGATGAGGTGACACAGTATGTGATGATGTGTAACTGTTTGTTAACAGATGAGGTGACACAGTATGTGATGATGTGTAACTGTTTGTTAACAGATGAGGTGACACAGTATGTGATGATGTGTAACTGTTTGTTAACAGATGAGGTGACACAGTATGTGATGATGTGTAACTGTTTGTTAACAGATGAGGTGACACAGTATGTGATGATGTGTAACTGTTTGTTAACAGATGAGGTGACACAGTATGTGATGATGTGTAACTGTTTGTTAACAGATGAGGTGACACAGTATGTGATGATGTGTAACTGTTTGTTGTAACTGTTTGAATTGTTAACAGATGAGGTGACACAGTATGTGATGATGTGTAACTGTTTGAATTGTTAACAGATGAGGTGACACAGTATGTGATGATGTGTAACTGTTTGTTAACAGATGAGGTGACACAGTATGTGATGATGTGTTGATGTGTATGTTTGTTAACAGATGAGGTGATGATGTGTAACTGTTTGTTAGATGAGGTGACACAGTATGTGATGATGTGTAACTGTTTGTTAACAGATGAGGTGACACAGTATGTGATGATGTGTAACTGTTTGTTAACAGATGAGGTGACACAGTATGTGATGATGTGTAACTGTTTGTTAACAGATGAGGTGAAACAGTATGTGATGATGTGTAACTGTTTGAATTGTTAACAGATGAGGTGACACAGTATGTGATGATGTGTAACTGTTTGTTAACAGATGAGGTGACACAGTATGTGATGATGTGTAACTGTTTGTTAACAGATGAGGTGACACAGTATGTGATGATGTGTAACTGTTTGTTAACAGATGAGGTGACACAGTATGTGATGATGTGTAACTGTTTGTTAACAGATGAGGTGACACAGTATGTGATGATGTGTAACTGTTTGTGAACAGATGAGGTGACACAGTATGTGATGATGTGTAACTGTTTGTTAACAGATGAGGTGACACAGTATGTGTTAACAGATGATGATGTGTAACTGTTTGTTAACAGATGAGGTGACACAGTATGTGATGATGTGTAACTGTTTGTTAACAGATGAGGTGACACAGTATGTGATGATGTGTAACTGTTTGTTAACAGATGAGGTGACACAGTATGTGATGATGTGTAACTGTTTGTTAACAGATGAGGTGACACAGTATGTGATGATGTGTAACTGTTTGTTAACAGATGAGGTGACACAGTATGTGATGATGTGTAACTGTTTGTTAACAGATGAGGTGACACAGTATGTGATGATGTGTAACTGTTTGAATTGTTAACAGATGAGGTGACACAGTATGTGATGATGTGTAACTGTTTGTTAACAGATGAGGTGAAACAGTATGTGATGATGTGTAACTGTTTGTTAACAGATGAGGTGACACAGTATGTGATGATGTGTAACTGTTTGTTAACAGATGAGGTGACACAGTATGTGATGATGTGTAACTGTTTGTTAACAGATGAGGTGACACAGTATGTGATGATGTGTAACTGTTTGTTAACAGATGAGGTGACACAGTATGTGATGATGTGTAACTGTTTGTTAACAGATGAGGTGACACAGTATGTGATGATGTGTAACTGTTTGTTAACAGATGAGGTGACACAGTATGTGATGATGTGTAACTGTTTGTTAACAGATGAGGTGACACAGTATGTGATGATGTGTAACTGTTTGTTAACAGATGAGGTGACACAGTATGTGATGATGTGTAACTGTTTGTTAACAGATGAGGTGACACAGTATGTGATGATGTGTAACTGTTTGTTAACAGAACACAGATGAGGTGAACAGATGTTATGTGATGATGTGTAACATGAGTGACACAGTATGTGATGATGTGTAACTGTTTGTTAACAGATGAGGTGACACAGTATGTGATGATGTGTAACTGTTTGTTAACAGATGAGGTGACACAGTATGTGATGATGTGTAACTGTTTGTTAACAGATGAGGTGACACAGTATGTGATGATGTGTAACTGTTTGTTAACAGATGAGGTGACACAGTATGTGATGATGTGTAACTGTTTGTTAACAGATGAGGTGACACAGTATGTGATGATGTGTAACTGTTTGTTAACAGATGAGGTGACACAGTATGTGATGATGTGTAACTGTTTGTTAACAGATGAGGTGACACAGTATGTGATGATGTGTAACTGTTTGTTAACAGATGAGGTGACACAGTATGTGATGATGTGTAACTGTTTGTTAACAGATGAGGTGACACAGTATGTGATGATGTGTAACTGTTTGTTAACAGATGAGGTGACACAGTATGTGATGATGTGTAACTGTTTGTTAACAGATGAGGTGACACAGTATGTGATAATGTGTAACTGTTTGTTAACAGATGAGGTGAAACAGTATGTGATGATGTGTAACTGTTTGTTAACAGATGAGGTGACACAGTATGTGATGATGTGTAACTGTTTGTTAACAGATGAGGTGAAACAGTATGAAGCAAAGAAGAAGGAAGTAGAAGCAGAAGGAAAAAGAATGTAAGTCTAATTGTTACTTTGGTGTCTATTTATTGTGTCACATTAAACGAGGGTGTTTTAAAAGTTTATGTAATACTTTTTTTAATGTAATGATTAAAAATTATTTTGATTTACATCTGTACATATATCAAATGCTTATTAAAAATTAGACAGATTAAGTTCAAGTTCTTTTATTTCTGAAGTCTACAGTCTTATCAGGATTTTTAGCAGGTCTTTTATTTAATGTATTGATAAAAGAGAATCGAAAACAATTAAAAACAATGATTTAAATGAATAAGGGAAAAGCATGGTTCTTAGAAGGTGTATATTTAATTTCTGATCAAAAATAAAAAAATAACTGCTTAGACTTAATGAATTTAACATTTATTAATGACAGGGATCCTAAAGAGCTTGTGCGACCCAGAATTCCTTTGTCTGCTTGCCTACATTGTTTCCAAGCTGAAGAAATTGTTGATGACTTTTACAGTTCTGCACTGAAAGGAAAATGTACAGCAAGGAAGTAAGAAATAAAAAAACATTTTACACTGCTTAAGGTTTTGACAGAAATGTTTCTTTGATCCCTTAGAGATACATTGTAATTAGTTCTCTGTAACCCTCACATCAACATTGAAGTGAATTAAATGCAATTAGTAGAAAAGGTATGCAGTTTATTATGATAAGACAAATTCCTATTACCATAACCCTTGAAAAAATATATTGTTTGAAGATGCTACTTCGAAGACTGAGAATCCTATTTCATTTTCAGAACCACACGTCTTTCTTCATTTCCCGATTATTTGATGGTACAGCTTAAGAAATTTACAGTTGGGGAGGACTGGGTTCCTAAAAAGCTTGGTACGTAACACGAACAACACAGGCAGTGATAACCAGCAATCAGACGTAGGAATCGTGACCTTCATTCAGTGTTAAATTAGGAAACATGGTTTAATCTAAACTTGAATTATGAAATATGGCATTGACTTGACCTTATTAGGGAATATAATTTGTATTACTGACCTAAGTAAGGAATCATGATATTGGTGTGACCAGCCCAGGAAGATAAATGCCTTCAGGTGACCTTAAAAAAGGTCAGCAGAATGACATGAAAAACAAGCCTATGATTTATACACTCTCTTACAGATGTTTCTATAGATGTGCCCGAGGAAATAGATTTAGCGTCATTAAGGGGGTGTGGCCTGCAGCCAGGAGAGGAGGAGCTACCACAGGAACAGGATGATTCAACCCCTGGTAAACTACATTTGTTATCTGCTTTAAAGCAAACATCCTTGTGATCCCAGCTATGAAATAGTGTTTCCTGTCTGTTATCCCTACAGATATACAATAGACCTTACTTTACTGCAGTTTCTCAACATTTTACTGATATTATTAGTTCTTCAACAAAGTTGCATACTGAAGTAACTATCTAAACCATTGTTACTACATATAGATTTGATTAGAAATTATTGTCGTCATTATAGCTTTAAGATATAGTTTTCCTATGATTTACATGGTCCTATGATATTTTGAAAGGTTGTATTTTATTTTTATTAGTAAGGAGCTGGCACTACTAAAGAGACTATAGGTTTTACACTCTGTCCATCCCTAACTTTGTATGTTACAAAGTTCATAATGTTCATAGTGTGTCAGTTTCTAAATATTATCTATTATATATAGTTGTATAGCAGTGAAATCTGCATTATACTTCTGCCTTATAAAACATCCAGTGTAGATCAGATTGTTTTCTGTAGTTATAGAGATTGATGAGGCAGTGGTGGCCCAACTCATGGATATGGGGTTTCCTCTAGAGGGCTGTAAACGAGCAGTGTTCAACACTAACAACAGTGGAGCAGAGGCTGCCATGAATTGGGTCATGGAACATATGGGAGATCCAGGTAAGTGTGAACACATAGGATACACAGGTCAGTGTGATTAAATGTAAGACACTGATGTGAACACAAAGAAAGATTTAAACAAGAGTGAGAATTATGTACCATGAAAAGGAGCAGGCAAAATCTATCAAAACTGAATTTTTATACTACAACCTTGCACTCTTGAGATGTATTTATTGAATGAAATAAAAAAAATATGAATCTAGACTAATTAAATTAATGGCATTTCATGGTATACTTCAGTGTGGTTGCACTATAAAGTCACCTTCATTTAAACACTGTCACAAAAGAGGCTTACACGAACATCTCACAAAAACATGCATTCAACACACACACTCACCTTGCATACACATGAAGATCTTCCTTTAATGACGTAAGATAGTATAAATCAAATCATTCCTTTGTAGTGATGACCTCTTAATCTTTATGTCTAACTCCAGATTTCTCCAGTCCGTTCACGCCACCCGGAGTGAAGAAAGGAGCAGCCAAAGACTTTATACCAAATGAGGATAGTCTTGTCATGATTATGTCCATGGGATTCACTAGAGACCAGGCTATTAAGGCACTCAAGGCCACGGTAAGATATGTAAGGTCACCAGAAATGACACTCAAGGTCAAAATAATGTCACTCCAGGCCACAATATTGAAATTGCAAGGTCACAGTTTGTAACACTCAAGGTCACAGTATGTAACATTCAAGGTCACATTATGTAAAGCTCAATGTCACGGTATGTAACACTCAAGGTCACAGTATGTAACACTCGAGGTCACAGTATGTAACACTCAAGGTCACTGTATGAAAAGCTCAATGTCACAGTATGTAACACTCAAGGTCACAGTAAATGTCACTCTCTGCCATAGTAAGTGGTCCTGAATGTCATAGGTAATGTCAGGAATATAAGGGAGCTACCTTGGTTTTGATCAGCTGACCTGTACCATACAAAACATGTCACCAACTTTAAGGTAACCTTGAGACATTAGTTGTGCATATCACTTTTCTTTTCTTAATTTAACAAGGACATGAAATCTGGAAACATGAATTTGAACAATTTCTTTGTTGAATTTTGACTTCTGTGATATATAGACAGTGGAAAATAGTAGTTTGTATTTTAAAGAAATCAGATATTTTCTATAAATTTATATCTCTTAGCATTTGCTTGTAATAAAAATGAGAAATCATATGATTCTCACCAGAACTTTACATAAGCTTATGAATATTTTATGTTCATTAGGATAACAATGTGGAACGAGCTGCTGACTGGATCTTTAGCCATGTTGATGAACTAAATACTCCCATGGAAACTGAAGAGCCAGCAGGTGCAGGTGCTGGCCCATCACAGCCTGCCTTCAGGGACGGACGAGAAAGTATGTAGGATAAGCTCTGAGTATACTAGTCATAAACACCTACTTTCCTAATAAGTGCACAGTGATACTATTGTGTGTGACAGGTTTTCTTTGTGTTCAGTTTTAAAATATCGTACAACTTAGTGGTATATACTTATACTTCTGTGTTTCTTTAATGTTGGTTAAGTTTGTTGTATGATAAATTGAAGTACTTAGTTGTTTACAGGCCTGGGGCGTTTGTAATATACCCTATACAGTTTGGACTGGCTAAAACTATTTAGTGGATAATTGGTGTCACAATGAAAGGCCAACATGTCTAATATTGACACAAGCCTGGAAATTACAAGCTTTCAAAAATCATTTCTGAGCAGAAGAAAATATCCTAACTGATATGAAATATGGGAAAATATCAGGATAGAGTTGGGTTTTTTATAGAGGGAATATTTATACACAGAAAAATTATAACTAGTGGGATATCATAATAAATGGTTTCATCGCTCTAATGGTCTTAATATATATGTGAAAGCTTCTGTATAACTTATAACAATATAGTTATTTAGGTTAAGAACTTCTAACAGAATAGTTGTGTAGGTTAAGAACTTATAACGGAATAGTTATGTAGGTTAAGAACTTCTGACAGAACAGTTATGTAGGTTAAGAACTTATAACAGAATAGTTATGTAGGTTAAGAACTTCTAACAGAATAGTTGTGTAGGTTAAGAACTTATAACAGAATGGTAATGTAGGTTAAGATATGTGTGTATAATTGAAATACTTAACCTAAACTAAATTAAATTTATACTTAAAGTTGTTTCTATTGTTTCCACAGAATACCGCCTGAAAGCGTTCATTAGTCACATGGGTACATCTACAATGGTCGGCCATTACGTGTGTCACATCCGTAAAGATGGTCGCTGGGTGATATTTAATGATGAAAAGGTGGCACTGTCTGAGAACCCGCCTCGAGATCTGGCTTACCTGTATCTGTATGAGCGAGTATGAGGGCTGGTAGATGTGAACGGTGGTTGTATTTTATGTTGCAAAAGTGAAGTTGGATGTTTGCTGAATTTGTTTTATTTATGTCAGTTAATTTGATGGAAATAATATTTTTCCTGTTTTGCAGTACATAAACCTGATCTTGAAAATTTCATCAGTAAAATAATGAGATGTGTGTTTTAAACACCCCTTAACATCTGGATTGCAAAATTTGTATTCCTTAAAATAAAATTCTATTGTTTTAAAAGAAAGTTGCAAAAATTAAAAAATTACTGACTAAACAGCACTCTTGATTGCAAAAACAAAACATGCATTAAGGATTGTTGCTAGTCATGTGCATTAACAGTACTGTGCACAAAACTTACTTATGTTTCAGTAGTGAAACTTTGAAATCCTGAAGAAAGATTGGTGGTTACAGTATGACATAAAATTATTTCTGATTTAGTAACCAGGTATGCATCCAGTATGAAAACATTGACTCGTAAATCTTCTGATGTGAAAACCATGCACTGCAGCCTGAAGGAACTTTCAAGGCAAACTTGGTTATAATGGAAATACACAAATAAACTAGTGTTACCAGCATTAAATATATTTCATCATGATTGTCTAGGTTACACAGGATCACAAGAAAGATGCTCTTTAATTACGAGTATTCAAAAAAAAGTTTTGGAGATGGGGAGGTGAACATTTTAATTTGGAAAAAACCTGAGCATATAGATCTCTGATACAAATAGAATTTCTCATTTTGATTCTTAATTTGATGAAAATTGAGTTAACATATATTTTGATAAAAATATTACAGCATATGAGTTCCATGCAAAATTTACTGTTACCATTATAAAACTGATAAATTGTGAATGTTTCTTTGACACAAAACACCTGTTGGTCTATTTGTCTGTCGCTGTACCTTAATCAAGGTTTCATTTACCTTAGTGTATCTATTGCTGATAAATATTAGGGTGACTTTGACTTCCAGCAGGACAGTGATGAATATTATTCAATATAGTGCTAAATATCAGGTTGAATTTGACTTTCAGCAGGACAGTGATGAATAATTTTCAATATAATGTTCCTTAACATCTTTTGACTTCAATCAGCATGGTGATGAATATTATTTTAATATATGTGAAAAGTTATACAGAGTTGCTCTTTGAGAAGGTGTTACGCAGTTGTAATACACTTGTATGGTGATGCCTGTTTGTGATACGTTAATGTGTTATCCTGAAAGGATATCTAGTTTAATGTTGTACTAGTTATATCATTACTGTCAATTTTACTATTTGCTTTGTCACTAATTGCTTTATTTCCAAGAAAAAAGCTTTTCACAATCATGATTATCATAGTTCAGTTATTTATAGATCTGTAAATCTGTAAATGATACCGATGTGTGAATGGATATGAAATTGACATTCTCACAAGTGATTAACGATACATACATCCAGTCAACAAACACTTCATAGTGAAAAAATAGGAAAATTATAAATTTTTTCATGTTTTGGTTGAAACACATATTTGCCTCTAATTATTTGATTTTTTACATGTAACTTTGTTTGGCTGCATTGGTGCAACGGGATTGATAAACTGATGAATAAGAAATACATGTATTGTAACTTGTATTAAATATTATATCGTATGGTACTGTACAGTGGTGTTCATCTGATGACTCCTAATTAGATTGATTCCTACTTACTGAAAAGTTAATTACTTTCAAGGGATTCTATTTCTTGCTGTTTCTGAGGATGAATAGTAGCTGGAAAAATAGATTACTTGAAAATAAAATAGATACAGAAACACACCTAAAGGTCATTTCATAGCTTGCTTTAAAAAGACATCCTTCAATCCCTCCTACTTCAAGCTTTATTTAAAACTGCAAAAATTTGAACCGTGGACAAAATAACCTTTTTAACATTCAGGAGCAATAAACACATTGATATTGATCATTTTAGAAATGATACACAAAAATTATCGCTGCTTTTGGTAAAACTGCTAGATTTTCTTAACATAATCTGGAAACTTTAAAATGGCATCTTACTTCCCTGAGCATTTGCTGTTTCAATAAAAGTTAATAAAAGGAATTTCCATGGTTTAGTTATTATTTTTACACTTAAATATACAGTAGAAAATGTACATCAATATTGGGTGGGAATGACCTCTGATTATAGTGTAACATGCTTTCATTTTGTTACTTTTATGAAATCATGTCCACAAAATCACAGTACAAAAGTAATCCCAGTTATCAGAAGTATATAATGAAGACTAAAATTGCCAAGAATTTGCTTTATCCATATTTTTTCACAGGGGTTGGATGAGGTAATTAGTTTCTCTGTAACTTCCTGTCAGGGCATTGATATTCTTTGACATTTGTAAGGGTTACTTCCCTTGTCCTACTTCCTGAAAGGCACACAGAGGTGGAAAGATGAAAAAGCTCGGAAGTTAATGGGGAAAATGAGAGAAAAAACAGATTAGGAGTGATGTGCATTGGAAGAAAACACATAATGAAGAGTGCTCATGGAAGTCAAAGCGGAAAAGAGAAAGTAAAGGACATTTCATGATATGACATAATGGAAAAAGTGAGATATTTTTGAGGTAGCATATTGTTCGGAAGAGTAAGCGGTTAATCAAATGTTCAGGTGGCAGAGATGTCGTCCAATATATATAACTGGTTTTACATCCACTAATATGGCCAAAAAATATACGGAATGACGTCTCTGCCACCTGAACAATTGATTAACATCTTACTCTGACGAACTATCTTGCTATGTCAAAAATGTCGTTCAGAGGAAGAAAGGGAATGGTGAAGGAGAGGAAAGGGGGTGATGAAGGGGAGAAAAGGGGGTGTTGAAGGAGAGAAAAGGGGGTGTTGAAGGAGAGGAAAGGGGGTGATGAAGGGGAGAAAAGGGGGTGTTGAAGGAGAGAAAAGGGGGTGTTGAAGGAGAGGAAAGGGGGTGATGAAGGGGAGAAAAGGAGAGGAAAGGGGTGATGAAAGGGAGAAAAGGAGAGGAAAGGGGGTGATGAAGAAGAGGAAAGAGGTGGTAAAGGAGAGGAAATGGGATGAAGGGAGAAAAGGGGGTGATGAAGAAGAGGAAAGAGGTGGTAAAGGAGAGGAAAGGGGATGATGAAGGGAGAAAATGGGGTGATGAAGAAGAGGAAAGATGTGGTAAAGGAGAGGAAAGGGGGTGATGAAGGAGAGGAAAGGGGGTGATGAAAGGGAGAAAAGGGGGTGATGAAGAAGAGGAAAGAGGTGGTAAAGGAGAGGAAAGGGGATGATGAAGGGAGAAAATGGGGTGATGAAGAAGAGGAAAGATGTGGTAAAGGAGAGGAAAGGGGGTGATGAAGGAGAGGAAAGGGGGTGATGAAAGGGAGAAAAGGGGGTGATGAAGGAGAGGAAAGGGGGTGATGAAGGGGAGAAAAGGGGGTGATGAAGGAGAGGAAAGGGGGTGATGAAGGGGAGAAAAGGAGAGGAAAGGGGGTGATGAAGGGGAGAAAAGGAGAGGAAAGGGGGTGATGAAGGAGAGGAAAGTGGGGAAAAGGGTCGATGAATGGGAGGAAATAGAGTGATGAAGGGGAGGAAAGGGGTTGATGAAGGGGAGAAAATGGGGTGATGAAGGGGAGAAAATGGGGTGATGAAGGGGAGGAAATGCAGTAATGAAGGGGAGGAAAGGGCGGTAAAGGGGTGTGATGATGGGGAGGGAAGAGGGGGAAAAATGAGTGACGAAAGGGTGAAAATGGAGTGATGAAGGGGAGAAAGGAAGTGATGAAGTGGAGAAAAAGAGTGATGAAGGAGAGGTAAGGGAATGATGAAGTGGATGATAGGGAGTGACTTTGAGTATATCCTTTAGTCTTTTACTCAACTGAACACTTCGTTCATATCCACTGTTTCATAAAATCACTTGAATTAAAAAAAAACGTACATGTGATACATTAAAATGTGGTTAACAGGGGTGGGTATCATATACAGATGGACCAAATGCATACTACTCTTTATACCGAAGGAGTAAGGCACGCTTTACAAAAGTTGTATTGTTCTACCCATATATGGTAGTGCCATTAGCTACAAGTACCACAGACGGGAACGAGCATATTATCACGGTGCACACTCTTTACAGCTGTCCATTTCAAACCATTCAGCTGGCTTAACTCACTTGACGACATGTGGACTAAACTAACACCGGGACGATTGGTGATAATTATTCAACTTACTTTTAGCCATCAAATTCACACATATGATATTTAATATTTTATTGATATTTTTTCTTGGAAATACATCAACATAAATTCATTACGTGGGCAAGCGATTCGCCATTAAAATGGTCTCACCGGGTATCACTTTTCTCACACCACCAGAAGCGATCCTTAGCTTTAGATTTCATTCTGTTTATAGTGTTATTGTAGAATACCTCGTTTTATACATCAAAGAGTGTACACTTCGGCGACACTTGATTACAATACGCCATGGTCCAAACCAAGACGAAGGAAGACCCTGAGTGTAGTGTGTTACTCACTACTTAGACAGGATGTCGTCTTTGAGCAACGGCGGGAAGTCACAATTCAGCAGTTGGTTATCACACAAACTGAAACATATTGTATTACCCTACCGATAAATCTTCAATTTCAGATCCAACAAAGAAACCAAAAGAACAGCATAAACGTCACACCGAAAATTAAAAAAAAAAAAAAACTTCACCAGTGCATGAAGTAGCAAAAAATACATAGAAGAGACTTCGATTTTAAAACTGACCTCCAACAACAGTCGTCAGCGCCATGAAAACATCCCAATGAAGAATAAATTTCAACGTGAGATTGGGTCGTTAAGTCGCTATGGAAGATACTAGTGAGCAGTATGTGGTATACTCTGGAACCCTTGAAAAAAGTGATGAACCACACAGACATCGGCGGCGCTGATATTCCTTGACGAACCCCGTGAGCTGTAATCGTTAGTTCTTTCATTTCAATATTTCTATTTTTTCTTTCTCTTAATGTGTCATTGCCTTCCTTAACACTGCCTTTCGCCAATGCAATGTATTCCCACTTTTGACGTACCACTTTCGTGCATGAAGCTCGTCATTTAGTGGGATTTGATATTGGTGTTCGGAAACGGAGAAAGCACAATCACACAGCTTTCAGCCTATATACACAAAAACTGTATTACAGAATCTTGTATTCTGATGTGATAGTGTAGTACCGACCCGTGTATTCTCTTCTGTATTAGTGTGTTAATTGTGTTTAATATTTTTAACTCCATGTCTTGTCGTCTGAAAAACAAGGAGTCCAAAACATATCTCGCAGTCTATGATGTACCTAACAAACCTACCACCTCCTCCTTTTTTAGCACACAATCGTCTGATGTTGAGCTATCAAATCGCCTCTCGTCCGTCGCCCATCTGTCCAACCATCCGTCCGTAAACGATTTTGTTATCACTACACCTTGAGAAGAACTGGATGGGTCGTTCTTAAATCATATGTAGGTTCTCCTTAGTGCTTAGAAAAAATATGATAGGCAGACGGCCATCTTGGATTTCGCCAAGTAAAGCTTTTATTGCCATATCTTAAGAACTACTTGATGGATCGCTCCCAGATTTCATATGTAGGCTCACCGTGGTTCCTAGTTGTGTCTGTTTGTTGTTGGATTGATCAGAAATACAAAATGGCCGTCAGAAAGCCATCTTGAATACTGGCTTTGAAAGTTTGTTATCGCTATTTCTCCAGAACTGCTGCATAGATCTCTCGCAAATTTCATTCGTAGGTATCCTTTAGTCTCTAGTTGTGCCGCTTTGATTTTGGAACTGATAAGAAAAATAGCTTTCAGGCGACTTGGCAGTTAAAAAATATTATCGCTACTTCTGCAAAGAAATGTTAAAATTCTGCTCATTGAGAGCAAAATCAGCCGGAAGAAAAGAGAAAAGAAGGGAAAAGATCCAACTTATAACAAGCCAAAGATCAAAGAATGGTTTGTGCCAATATCCCTATTGGATCTTTATTTATTGTAAGAGCTTCGATACAGAGTAATTTGAAGTCTTTCTTCTATTGGTGATTTCATTCCTTTGCGGTAATACCCACGTGCAAGCTTCAGTTTATATGTGTATTTATTGTAAGGACATGTGTAGGAAAGGAATGTCAACTATTTCCGTGCCAGTCCCTATATGATAATAACAGAACGATCGCCACACTATCTGTGTGTCATATTACCTATCATGCATAGGAAGTCATGGTTCACTGGTTTTCAAAACTAAGTTCGATTGTACATATTTTCCAAGCCATTAACTTTTCATTTAATCTTTTTTTTCAATTTCCTCAAATCAAAATAATACGGTTTCAAGTGTACTCGCATCAGAGGATAATCATATTTCATACACTATAGCACCCTGTACAAATTCTACTATTGGTCCTCTTTAGATTTAGCCTGCGGTTCCAAATGTTCGCGTTGACATTGAGAAAATATTTACGTATTTATCAGAAATACATTCCAAATTTGTGTACATACAGATACAAGCGTATATATTTCCCCCCTTTAATCTTACGAATGAATTCTTATCGTTGAAAATCTAATCAGTAGTCGAGAAGTACGCATATTCGTGTCGGTATGTAAGTAAGTAGTAGCTCGGTACACAGGTAGGTAACTGCCCTCTAACTTTATCTTTGACCGACGTATCGAAGGTGACACACAGATGGTTTGTGAATCATCCAAGAAACCCACTCTATATTGTGTCAATCCAATCTCAACTGACCGTGGTTTCACGTCACCGATACAGTATATGACCCGAGTTTATAACCACGTGCTTTGTCCTCTGTTTAGTCAGATATTTGTATACAAACACAGCGACTAGTGTACTCTCCCACTATTAGCAACTTGAGCGCGAGTGATGCTGATAAGCAAAGGTTAAATTTTGACCCGGAAGTGGTGGTTAGGCACACGAGCAGCCGTTCAGTGGATGAATTTGTACACAAAACAAAGAGATGGGACGGTGGGGTTTGGAAACTTAGCGAGAGGATTTTTTATTTCTATTTTCTCAGGATGTATTTAATGAGATCTAAGAAGCATTTTGAAAGCCAAGATTTGAAGGAGTTACAAGACAAACGTGAAAAATTTGCCGAGCGACATCGTGATGGTTCCAGTCGATCATCAGAGACGGCTTCTATGGATAAAAGTCCTGCAAAAACAAATAAAAAAGAAGAGTTTACTCTGGAGGAACTCCCAGATGGAGCTTGTTTTAGACCAAAGTCTGTGTTATCAAACGTGCAGGATGCTGAAACGGCTGTTAGACCCGCTGAGGTACGTAGAATTCGAATTTATTATTCATAGACATGTTTGTTGACATTTCAACACGATCAGCTGTGCGCTAACTTCGTTTTACCTGTGTTCAGAGATCTTAGTCCTGTTATATGCATTTCTAGTAGCATCTGAAATTTTCATGAAGAAAAAAGACGTGAAGAAAAACAGAACAATTATGTTTCTGCTCAACAGTCTAAGAGACAGTAGGCATATACAGTAAAATTTCGAAAAACGTAGCTCAGCTTTAAGTTTAACATAAACTTGTATGTAGATCTTGTATACTGTATGTATACATGTAGGTCGCGATTTTCTGTACTGTAGTTGAGAAATCAAGCTGTAGGACTATATATTTTTATATTCAAAAGGTAGATTAAAAGTTTGCAGCACTGCTTGACCTGGTTGGGGAAACTTTTTTTGTATTACCGTAAATCCCATAATGAAATACAAGTTAATATTGAAATTTTAAAGCATCTTAAACAGGACCAGATAGCAAAAAGAAAAGAATGTGATAATCAGTGTGTTTTATTATCATTGTTGATTTTTTTTTCAAATTTTATTTTGCTTTTGAAATCAATTTGAAATAAAATTAATTTGAAAAGGATAGCCATTTGACAGTGTTAAAGCTTAGCAAGTAGAACTTCCTTGGATGTAAATTTGTATTTTGAAAATGCCTCAAGGCAGTAAGTTTGGCAGGTAAAGTAATTACAATAAAAACCCCAAGGAAACAAACTACTGACAGTGCCACAACAGACAAGCTGTACTTAGACCTATGATCTGTATCTCTAAGCTAACTCAATAGAAACGCTGCTCTAAAAGGGCCGTGTTATAAAGGAGCAAATTAAACTACACAATGTTAAGACATTATATGAACAGGTACAATATAAACTTGAATTATTAAGGGTAAATATGATTGATCTAAAATCATAATTTTGTCAGTTTCTTTGATATTGACTGATGATTTTATCAATATATCTGTCATCCATCACACGGAAATGATTGGGGAAAACAGATGTACATACATTTGCATTGAAAGTGTTAATTTTTGCTAAATCATAGAAAACATATGATATAAAATATGTATCAAAAGGAGATCCTTTACTGAGAAGTGTTAAGTAGGGGTTAAAATCCTGTTATAACACTAAACACAAAATCAAGCCCGACAAGAAAGCGTGAATGTTTTTATTAAAAATTAACAATGAAAGTAGCAAGTCCTATTATACAAAATATCTCTTTCATTTCCTTGTATGTACAGGTAAGTTTAAACGCAAAACCATGATAAATTAAAAGTCTCTAAATTTACCAGTTATAAAAAGTGGAGAGTTCAGTACATGTATACTGAAGTAAGGGACAGAGCTATGAGAAGTGTATTTAATGTGACCTAGATGTGACACATTAGAATTAACTGTCTATTCATTTTGCCACACATCCTATTGTGATGGTGATCTCTAGAAAGGTGATAAGTAATTTGTCATCTAACTTTAAGTACATGTAGTAACACAGCTGGGGAAAGTTAGTTCAAGTACTTGTAGTAACACAGCTGGGGAAAGTTAGTTTACTTTAATTCCTAAGCATTTAAAGATGTTTAATTAGATACAGATCATGATATGGATGCAAACTTCCATACATGACTTTAGTTATGTGCTAGCAATATCTGTTATACTGACATGCAAATTTAGTTAAGATTGACTCTTTTGTTATCTGTAGTGTCAGGAAAGATATGCTAGTGTTGTCACTATATTTACACTTTATGTTAGGAGATGGAAATTGGAATATTTGTTGGTATTCTATACATATGCCAGGTATACTAATTCTTGTTAACTCTTGTCAGTGTGACATGTAACGGTATTATCCTTGTGGGGATTTCCCTTTCCGTCTTGTGATTCCACAGATTCTTTTTATGTCTCCTGGTTTTATTGAAAAAGTGAAATACTTTTTTGGGATCCAAAATTGCATTCGGTTATGTACGGTCTGTATGTGATGTATTTCATTGCATTTTTGTGGAAGATGAAAGAATTTTACAGCACTGTAGCTATGTATTCAATGTTTATATCCTGTGTGATGCAGTTTTGTGATAGGTATTATGAATTGATGGTTTCACTAGTTATAGAGGAATCTCCTTGTAACAAGTACAGTATTTGACTGATTAAGTGCCTGCATTCCTGTAAGTACCCATTGATAAGGTCCTAATTATAGTACAACATTCTGATTAGTTTTGGAAAAATCAACATTTTGCACAATCAAGAAAGTTATTGAGTCTGTTGAAGCAAATATGGTCCTCCAGCAGCAGAAGATTACTGCATGATAACGTTACAACATTTTTTCTGCCACCTTAAATGAAAAAGTACTTCACCTGTTGTGAACAATTTTGATCTTGTCTGAAATAGTCCCACAAGATCCCCTGTTCAATTTGAGATTTTCTTAGAATCCTGGGTGCTTAATGGGTAGAATAGGGTATTTGTTGATGAGTCTAGCTGTTAACAAGGTTTCTGAGTACAAACTACCGTTACTTGTATATTAAATGAAGAAATTGCATTGGGTCTCGCACTTTCCTGGTATATTTATGACAGTTGATATATAAGATTTGGTATCTTTGTGACTAGATTTCCTGTCTTGGTAATGTATCTATTGATTGTTTAGCTTAAAAGTAAATCATATTGAGGGGTGTGCAGATGAAATGATTGCTCACATTGACAGGATGATCCTCAAGTCAGACAGACTGTGTGAACTGAATGACCTGGTTCTTATTGTAAGGCTGTGTAATGTGTTATTTTGTGTATAACCAGTGTGTTTCCTGGGGTGAGTATGTGTTTGTGTGTGAGGAGGGAGGTGGGAGGGGTGTGTGTGTGTGATAGGGAATTTTCTATGTATTTGATTGATATTCACATGATGTGTGACACACAGGAAGAAAATTAATGAATTAAGGAATTGACATCTACATTGATAGGAAGGATATACTGATCCAGTATTTTTTGTCCTGGTTAATGTTGAATCATTTGTAATTTACATAAACTAACATAAACAGTGAGGTTGATACATCATATTAGCTTTAGGTAGACTGTATCTTAACACCAGTCTAACTTAACAATGAGGTCAGCCACAGATATCACCAGGTGTTATGGTATATATATAGATATTGAGGCGGAGGCATAGATATCTCTAGATCACTTAGTATATATCACCAGGTGTTATTGTATATACATAGATATTAAGGTGGTGGCATAGATATCACTTAGTATCTGTGTTATTGTTTCTATATTACAAACAAACAGACACTTTGTACATTAATACATCTGTATACTAGTACTGTGTTCTGTATAAAAAGTTATGGCCAGCCTACTTTCACTTCAATCCACAGATCAGCCAGGTGTATCAGCTTCTGTATTATAAATGTTCTTAATTCTATGCAATCAAATTTAGTGCTTTATTTTTTGGCAAATTACCATGACGATGAATTTGTGCAACCACAATAATTGCTATACATAAAAATTGCATACAGACAATGCAATTACTGAAGTCATATTTCATTGCAAACTTTGTGGGTGAAATGCACTGAAATAAGATTTTATAGCTAAATTAGGTATGTTTACAGAAGTGTTGTGGACATTTTAATGGAAAAAAATTGACTTCATGATGTAAATTCAGCTCACTGTTAACCTCAGTATCGACTCTCTCAAATGTTTAAAAAAAATGCTGGAAACGAGCTGAAATACAGATGTAATACTGGGGTAGCAGGAATGTTTAGTGTAAGGAAGACTCCCTGGTGATGGTGTTTTGAGGTGTACATGAAGGTATAAGTACAGTGTACCAGATTGTCTACATATACTGGATGGTTGTGCTGATGTCAAAAACAGTCTTAGGTATTTACGTAGAGCCGTCATAGTTCCCACCAGATTCTAAATAAACCTGGCTTTTCACAAAAGAGTAAATTTGTGGTGAATTTCTATCCATTTATCATGAAATTACAAGTGCTTGCTGTTTCTTAGCAAAAACTTGTGATTAAATGCTGATTAAATCAATTTCAATGGTTTTTGGTGTAGAATTATACAGATATTATGCAGATTTGGAAAGAGTACAGTATCGCATTTGGCATCATGATTTATATATATCATATGTATATAAACACATGCATGCAATGGACTCCACTTTGTACAGTACATTGGAAATTTAAATCGTGATCTGTAGAAATAAGCACCATCATAGCGTCTTGTGTATCTTGATGTAGATGTGTTGGAAAGTACAAGATTTGACGTTATACTTCATTACAATATGGTATGTGAATGATATATATGGTGATTACATTCTGACATGCAGAGAATGACTTTTTAAACTTTGAGGAATTCTATTTTGAATGTTATATCTGAAATTATTTAAGAAATATAAATAAAATTAGTAGATTTTAACCACTTTATATGTTATTGCTGTGAATATACAATTATCTATCAGGAGATAAGCCCATGTCTGTGTGGCTCACCTATAGCTATTGCTGTCCAGTGGCTTTTTCAACACATACTATTGTATTACATTGTAACCCTAGTAAATCCTAGCCTGGTAATGGCTATATTGAGGAAATTTCTACTTAGCTTGATTGTTTGAACATACATGTAGACAAGTGCACCAAAGGTAACAGGTTTGATCCCTAACAGAGGCATTGAAATAAATAGTGAATTTTGTTACACTGATACCAATATGGTGGTTCAGGAGTGATATTCACTTTATATTGTCCCACAGACATCTCTGTGACTCTGAAAACATGTGGATGAATTCTTTTCTGTCCTCCCTAAATTTTGATACTGAACATTAAGAGTAGGGTAAGGGGATTATATAAATAGGGTATGCAATGTAGATAAATCCTAGCTGGTATGTATGTAAGACTAGTGAGCAAGAGGTCCAGTGTACATGTTTGGTCCCCAGTGGACGCATTGAAATAAAAGGAAACCCTGTACATTTGATACAGAGTTATGGTCCCTGGGGCTTATTGCAGGATAAATACAGTAGTTTTG